GGGCTCCAGGGTAGCTCCAGGGTAGGCCCTCCCCCCTCGTTCGGCCGTGAGTCGATTTGGCCGGTTTCCCATACAAATTACTTTTGCGGAAAATGCGAATTGGACCGCGAGCCCAAGCCCGGCCGCCCAGGTCGCCCGCCCGTCCGCAGCCCCCTCGAGGGGCCCGGCCAGGGTCCAGGGCGAGCTCCAGGGTAGGCGGGGGGCGGGGGGGTTTTGGGAGACCCTGGGGCCTTGGGGCGCGCGGGGGGGAGGGGAGGGAGAGGGAGGGGAAAACGGCCAAGTCCGGCGGGGGAGCCTACCCGGGAGCCGCGGCAGGGCGGGCGTTCGAGCTGCAGGGTAGGTGCAGGGTAGGTGCAGGGTAGGCCGGTGCAGGGTAGGCCGCTCCAGGGTAGCTCCAGGGTAGCTCCAGGGTAGGCGCTTTATACAGACGGGCACATCGCTCCAGGGTAGCTCCCGGGTAGGCGACTCGCACACATGTACACGGACACACGGGCATATTGCTCCAGGGTAGCTCTAGGGTAGGCGCTTTTCGTGAATGCATGGGCATTTCGCTCCAGGGTAGGCCGCTCCAGGGTAGGCATTCTCTGCTTATTAGCTCTAGGGTAGGCGCTTTGTATGGGGAAAAGGCCAGAAGGCCGGGAAAAATAAAAAAACGAAAAACCAGAAATCAAAACGAAGGAGACTTTTTCGCCATTTGCGAGGGGAGGCCTGAAGGGCACCCTCCGTGTCTATGATTTCATGCCCAGGTCCAGGGTGGGCTGCTCCAGAGGCTGCTCCGGAGGGGTAGGGAATATAACCCTTTAAATTAGTTTTACTACATAATATATTGAAAAATTTGCTTTCCCAGTTTATATTATTTATAATCGACGATCCTTATGTTTATTTAGTTAGCACATTTTTCTATGTCTTTGTTCTTAAATATCGCTATCTCAATAATCCGCCCGTTCTACTGGAATCTCCAGTAAACCTCTCGCAGGGTTTCGGCCTAAGTAACCCGTTTCTTGCCATCTTATATGTAAGTCAACTTTTCTTTGAAGTCAGGTCCTTCCTTGCCCTTTCCCCTTGAAACCATAAGAAATCAGCTTACCGAATTTTGCCTCGACGACATGACGTTAAGATGATTCGCATTTCGAGTGAATCCTGGCCCGGTTTGTTTGGTCGTACCCAAAACAACACACACATGACATTCGCCTCCTGGCCTTGATAAGCTTCAACTGTCGCGGGCGAAGACATGCCTTTAAGCACTGCATTTCCGGTTTCCTTTTGAGCCATCGCTCCATGATGGCGATATTGGCCTTGTATAGGGTGATGATGCCGATATGTTTCCCCTAAGAAACCTCGGTTAGTTGAATCTAAAACACAGGGGTAAAAAACTATTTGTAATCAACTAGATGTAATAAAGGTCTGCACAGCTTATATTAGCTACCTTATTGACATTAATGTCCTGGACCTAAGTTATCTTCCACTTGTGGTAAAGGACCTTCTCTAAAAGGGCCGGAGTAGTGTAGATAAGGTCAGCATCTGTAATTAGTATTTTAAACATAGCAGTGAGATTATCCATGCTATTTAAAGAATGCCCTATGTACTTAAACTATAGAAGCGTCCCCCTTGCTATATTAAATAGCATAAAGTAGACTGGATAAGCTTTTAAATTCTTATATAAGATATAAAGGCTAGGGCTATCTTCTAGATTAAGTACTAGCACAGCAGGAGATCCAAGCATTTTTAACACCTAGTATACTATTAAAAGATGCAGCTTCCACTTGGTTACCCCCTAAAGGTAGTCTTTAAAGCTATAATATTACTATTATTAAGTTACTATAAAAGAATCCTAAAAGCCTTAATCTTATCTTAAATAAGAAAGCCTTTAATAATAAGCCTTTAATAAATAAGATTTTTACCTTTTTAAAGGGGCTTATTATATTATATAACAATCTTTTAATTTAGTATATTAATACACTTAGTAAAGTTATTAATTATAATATAAGTAAAAGCTAAGATATAAATTTTCTTAAAAGTATAAGATATATTTAATATTACTAAAGTAAAAAGAATAATTTTATTAAATTTATAGTCTTAAAGTTAATATTAAGAATTAAAATATAATAAAAAAAAGAAGTTTTAATAATTAACTTATTATAATAATAATACTAAACTTAAGGGGTAAGTTACTAAAATATAATTAATACTTAAGTTAATTTTTATTTAGATTTTTTTATATAAGGTAAATAAGTAAAATTAAATTATTTATATAAAGAAAATTAATTACTTTAATATTCTAGTAATAACTAGCTTTTTTAATATTATTAAAATAATATATAATTTCTTATTATTAGTTTAAAAACCCTTTACCTAGCTAAAAGGCTATATATAATTTTATTTATAATTTTAAATTTAATAAAATATTACTTTTTTTAAAAAGCTTAATATTATTAAAATATAATAGTAAAAATTATAAAGTATATTAATTAATTATATTTATTTTATACTTTAAGTTACTTAATTAAGAATTAAAAAAAAGAAAAATAAAGTTTTAAGATTTTATATTCTAGTTAGTAGCTTTATAAGTAAAAAATATTTTAATTTTTAATTATTCTAAAATATCCTTAATATTTATTTATATATTTTCTTTATTTTTAAAGTTCTTATATTCTTAGGGCTGCTAAATAAGAAGAAGATTAAACTTAGCTAGAGGATAGTCTTTAAGCGCAAATATATTAGTTACCTTCTTTATTATTTTAGCATTCCATATTAAACTAGCCAATTTATGCCATTTTCCATGGTTAACAAGGCTGGGGGTATTTATAGGCGACATGTCATCGTTAAACGCAAGCCGCAAGGCAGTCTTGTCGACTTATGTGGCGTCAATCGACCTAGATGCCTTTGAACGGTCACCTTGAGCTTGGCATGCGATGGAAAGAAAACAAACAGACTGATCTCTATATACTAAAAACACCAACTTCAGTGCATGCTAGTTCAGTGTATTCCTTCCCTCATTTGCTTGGTCGAATCGGCTCTGCAGAAACAGAGCAGCTGTTGGAATTGTTCGTAGTTAATTCTGTGTATTCCAGTGCACCACACTGCATTTTGCTGTGCTTCGCTGGATCCAGCCAGAAAAAGATTACTAGTAGTGGGATGGGAATACAGCCCGAATATCGACACTCTGCATGTACTTGTTATCTGTGCTCTGAACGCCACCTACTCCGTAGACGTTTTTATCAAAGCTCTCGGGTGACGCACAAACCCATTCACAACACGGATTCAGAGCTAACCCTTGATTTTCTTCTCCCGCATTTTATGCTTCCTCCCGCTGCTGCTGAGACTTTTTCGTCGTGACAGTTGTGCTTCCTGCATTATCAGGAAACGTGCTTGTAAAGTGCGCTTGTTCAGTCGTTCCATCGTGGGTATCTATCTGCAGGAAACAATCCCTAGTTCTAGGGGCGGATTCCCTCAAGAGTTCTGCCTTTCAATGTCAATTGCTTGCAAGTGACTCGTACCTCCCTAGTCCTTGGAGGCGTTGATCGCAGGTAGCCCCGTTTGCCTCAAAGAATTTTCTTCTCGTGCGGCATTTTACTGTTTTCACTCAAAGTATATTAGATTTAGTGAAAAGTTATTCAGCACCCTAATTTTATTATCCAACATCCCAACTATAGCACAATATGGTAGCCAGTTTATATATTACATAGGTATACAGCTGCAAATACTTATTACAATAGCAAGAGTAGCAAGAGTAGCAGCAGTAGCAGCAGTAGCAAGAGTAGCAGCAGTAGCAGCAGTAGCAGCAGTAGCAGCAGTAGCAGCAGTAGCAGCAGTAGCAGTAACTTCTCTCTTTATTTATGGGGTGTTAGATAACAGAACTGAGGTGCTGGATAATGGCTCTCCAGACTTTTGAGAACATGAAGTTTGCCACTGTGGAACATGGCTTGCTAACCCCCGCCAGCATTTAACCTATCTACCTATATAAAGACACCATACAGCACTGCAGACTTCACCCGTGAAGCAAAAGCGCCCACATAACCGAAGCCTTTCGGATGATCCTATCGCGTTGCCATTCGGATGATCTTATCAAGTTGCGATCGCGTAATTAGGAAACTCCACGCAGTCCAGGACCAGCCCCCCGACCAAGCTTCAGCAATCCAACCAAACGGTACATTCATTCAAGGTCAAGGTCTTTCGATAAGAAAATGGCGCAACTTATCCCTCCCAGCAATGAAGAGCGCGAGCTTTATTATTTCGGGCTTCCTTCCTGCCCCAAGCTCGTTGCTCGCTCCAGCTCAGGCACAGAACCGTGGGTGAATCCCCAGAGGCCCGAACCCACAATGTTCACAGGCACCATGAACATGTATCCGAGAATCTTTCTGCCCGCTGAAGATGGGGAAAAAAGGGCCATACTTGTCGCCAAGTATGGAGCGAGGACAGGACTGACGCTTGGCCTTAGCAACGAACTGGTTTCAGTCGTCCGCCGACCCGGGACTGCTGATGGTGAAATGAGCGAAGAATGGTGCATCACATCGGCTGGCCTCGCCGTTAATAAACAAGCGCTTTTTTCTGATGGAGGCGACTCCGGCTCATGTATATGGGATATGGATGGACGGATCGCGGGAATCCTAATGGCAGGAGCTGGTATAAATGGGCTGAATGATGTTACGTATGCACAACCTTTCGAGCGCTTGCTTACTGATATTCGAGCCCACGGTTTTGAGGTTTCACTTATTTAGAACTTTGACTCTCGTCTAATTCCAACACAAGGTCCATCTTACCCATCGTCATGTTGCGCTATATGAGTCCATGCACTTGCTGTTGGGCGTATAAGATGATGACTGGCCTCAGACAGCACCGACTGATGTTGTTTTTTTGGAGATGTACTACTTGGATGGCATCAAATATGCTGGTACAGCGATGGTCAATTATGCTGGCTTCACAGTAAGGGGCTGGTCAATCATGAGCCGAGATTGAGGCCTCAGACTCGGCGTGCTAGAGGCGTCCAAGTGAAAGGGTTGACTCTAGTTTAGGCGGCACCGAGTGATTTATTCAAAGTTGTAAAAACATATTCTTTAGGATTTTTACTAAATACTGTTTATCCAGATGCTGTAAAAAGAAAAACAGAGGGATAATTTAGTTGTACCTTTTCTCGGAATAAATCAATTTTTGAACAAGCATGGGTTTTGTTGCAAATATTTGAAACCACAAGGCCAAATGTAGAACAATGACGATTGAGAAGTCTTCGCTGTATGCTGTTTGAGGTTGGAGACAAATCTCCTGGGAAGCTGCCAAATAGCATGAAAGTGCTCTTTAATGTTAGCATATTCGTCATCAGCTTACAGTACAAATGGGACGCTGTAAGGAGTCTTATCTCTAGAAAGCGTACTCAGCTTAATGTACAATCTGAAGAGATGTAAGATGCATTCAATGATAATCCCGCATGGGCAACTTATCGTGGCCATTTCATATCCCAAAACCAGGTCACGCACTCTATCTCGACTATATCTTCGTGCGTTCTTTGCGTTATCGGAGAACTATTGATGCTTGTCGTGTGTTACACGCAGCATAGAATTTGGAATAAGATTGGGGACATTACACTATTGTATCGAGATTTATTTCTAATGCAGTTGTATAGGTTCAAAAGACCTGTAACGGCCGGTGCAATAGAGGACTGTACCTAGCCCTTGGTTCAATGACTGGGTGGATAAGGATATCCAAAAAAAAAAAAAAAAAAAACGCCATATTCAGCCTCGTTGGGTCCAACGATGCCAACGACGCCAGATCGTCAAGATCGCTTATAAGGTTCAAGATAAGGTTTCCACGCCAAAGATAGAGTTCCTCGCCGATGACTCAACGCAACGCTGGAGCAATGAAAAGGCCACCTATACGGAAGCCAGCTTGCAGGCATAAGAGGCCTTGATGGTTCCTTCTTGGAAAATGGAAGAAATCTTTCAACTGCCAAGCACGGTTCAAAGCACCAGGCGCTGTTACAACGCACAAGACTCTGACGTCAACGAAGAAAAGCTACTATTCAATACAGTAAGGCAACCTCGCAATAGCCTAGGATAACCTCACAGCTGACTGTAATCACATACAGATAATGGCCAAAGGAGACCAGAAAGAAACGGCTACACTATTGTATAAGTGCAAAAAGGATAGGTATTGGGCTACAGGTAACCTGCCCAATTACAAATACGATATATACTTAGGTATCATGTGCCTATGTATTTCACCCAGTAGCATTTCAATATAATGCCAAGTATTACATGTACCGGGAAACTCTATTTTTGAAGCCACGTAACGTATGATAAGAATGATATGGAATGGGTTACACAATATGACGTGGCTTTGGAATACGAACAGTCGTACCACCCTATTGCTTCTCGTGATCCGTTGGTAGCCATCTATGTATTCTCCCTACCTTAGCAACTAAACATCAAGTTAAAGTCCCGGAATACGAGCATCTGTACTACCACAATTACTCTTGTGAATCATTTGAGAGTCATTTATGTATTCATCCTACGATTAAGCATCTAGTTCAACTCTGACTTATATCAGTATACAACACCTCGAAACGCAAGGCCTATTAGTCAATCTAATCTCGTCTCAACATCAGGATCCGACGTATTCATATCTCTGTTCTAATCCAACCATGGCATCCTCCAGAACTCGCATCCCCACCTACCATGCTCCCCATTTCAACATCGCGACTTTGTCGAGTTTGCGCCGTTGAACAAAAAGGAGACATAGTACCAGCCAGTGGCCGACAACGAAATTTATACGCCGACACCAGAGGCGGGCTTCCACGCGACGCGCCAACAGCGAGCGAAGCAACAAGGAGACTTTCTCGTGCGACAACATCGTGACGACGTATTTCGACTCGACGGGCGAGTGGGTGGCCAAGTGTCTGGCCGCCAAAACTGTGCAAGAATACATCATTGGCTCGGGATACAGGAAGCCAGTGTTTATTATCACGGGGCTGAAGGTGGCAACGAACCTCGAGTTTGGCTCCGAGGCGACGCAGAATGCCAACGCCGACACCAAAGTGGGCGTGAACGTGCCGCAGGCGCCGGTAACCGTCGGGATTGAGGGGGCTATGAACATGGAGAAGAACCAATTTCTCGGATTCCAATCGTCTGATATCGTGGTCGGGTTCCGTGTCAAGAAGTATCAGTACAAGAGAGAGAGCCTGTTTAGCAGGGAGAGGAAGCTTGTGGGGGAGATCTTCACGAAAGGCGCGGAGATGCTTGATGACACGGCGAGGCCGTCAAGGAGCTTGGATGAGTTTGAAGAAATCGCCATTGAGGAGGAGATAGTGGCGCAGAGGGAAGCTGAGAAACAGAGCAGTTCTCTTGTAGAATGCTGGGTCAAAAGGACTCGCTCGTCTGGTCTAGACTAGATGTAATTTTACATCTCTCCGCGGTGTAGGAGCCTTCCGTGCTACAATTGATATATTTGACCATCTTCATGCCATGCAATGCTTCATCTTGTTACATCTATGCTCCTCCATATTCTGAGTAGCGACGTGGTTTTTCGAATCCCTGAAACGAGGCTTCAGATGTCTTCTCAATCCACAGTTCAATCCACAGTTGCGCCCCGTACGTCTTAATGTCCCTTAAAGCAGAGCAGGTATCCTCAGGCTGCGTCTCGTTATCCCACAGATGCTTCTTCCATGGTTTGACGTAGTCATAGCCATCTATGCGGTCAGAGAGACATCTAAACAATTCTCTCATCCCGAGAGGAGTGTAGAAGTACTTTGCGCAATCCCTGTCGCTGGCAAAGTTATGTCTGATAAACTCCAAGGCGTTCGCTGCAATAGCTGCAGCGACAGGCGTGGCAAAAGACGATCCACTGATGTAGACGTCTTCTCCATCCCACCATGAATCAATGGCATTGCCCAGCGTGGAGAAATTATCACCGCGCACAGGGGCCGGAGTCATGCCAACTCTGTTGCCCTTCCCATCCGAGACATGAATACCGAAAACACCATCTTGACTAGCTGGAAAAGCCCTGGGCTCATTACCTCTATCATTTGAAGCAGCAGCGAATATTATTTTCCCTGCCTCGACGAGTCCCTTGATAGATGACTTGATATTTGGGTTTTGGCCGAGCCCAAAGGAAAGGACGATGATATCAGCCCTGCACTCATCAGAGCTGACCCACGTCAGCGCCTATCATGGATCGTCGTTAGTAAATGGCCATGGCACTGGTTGGCGTCCTCTTACCTCGACGATCTGGTGGTTTCCCGCAACCTCGTGTTTGGAATTGGAGATCTTGGCGACAATAATCTTCGCGCGAGGCGCAAATCGGAGCAATAACCCGACTACGTGTGTTCCGTGACCATCATTGTCGATATGAGCGTGTTCATCGGCACTGAAAAAGTTTCGCTTCCGGATTACTCTTTCTTCCCCGCCTTTGACTAGTTCGTCCCCATCGTCAACGCAAAAGCCCGTGTCAAGAACGGCTATCCGGACATTTCGTTTCAGAGGATCAGACTCAAGCGTGATATCATCTGCTGGGTTGTTGGGCAGTGGAAGAATGTAACGCTGGATAAACATAAACATGCGAGATACGAAATCCTCCGTGTTGGGATCACGATGTGTCCTGTGTAACAGTTAGGACTATGAATCTATAAATACTAGGAGTCGCGACTGGGCAAACCTTTTCTGACAAATTTGATCACCCTTGTGGAATAAGAGACGGTCTTTAGGCCGTATAACTGTCTCTTGCTGTGGATATGCAAAATTATGTCCACCTGGGCTTGCTAATCTACCCGGCTCTTTGATGCCTAGTCCTCTGTCAGGCGCATAAGTATTGTCGTTTTGGCTGTGGATTTGCCTTTTGGCGGATTGATAAGAATATTCGTCCTGTGCGAACCCTTTTTTCACAGCTGTTTCTTGTGCCATGTTTGGGGACCGCATGCCTTCAGAAGATGCGATAAGTGGCTCGACGATGCTCCGGTTAAATTTAGTACGAAAAGCCGCATCAATCACACTAGCTTGTGGATAGAGAAGGATGCAATTCGCAATAAGGTCAAGGGGGTATCTTTCGATAAACGATGTTTTCCTTAATATAGCCTCTTTGCGGTTAAGTGCGTTGAATAGGGAGTTAATCTCATCTTCGTTCGCGTCGTCATCTTGCTCAATATCCTCTTCGGTGATTGTAATCTTTTCCCCTAGAAATATTTCCCAGAAGAGGAGCCCAAGATGGACAATAGCTGATTGTGCTCCCACAGATTTCTTCGAGTCTTGTTCATAGAGGCTCCCGCGCAAATTTCCAAGGATGTATGGCTTAATATTGAGACCATCAGACGATTTATCGGCAATTTCAGCGACGAGGATGTTTTGGCTCTTCCATGGGATTTGAATAAACGGGCTCCCAAGAAGGCAAAGCAGAGATCTCGCAATGTTCAATGCCAGGCGTATTTTCGCTTCTTTTGTTATTTCGGATGGCTGCATCTGGGATGATTCTCCCTCTTTCCTCGGACAGAGCCAATCGGACAGAGACTTTTCTGGGACTATCACCTTTGTAATCCGGTCAGAGCGCCCTGCACTTGGACTGTTCCAGCAGCCGTCCCGTTGACGCTGCATCCGTAGCCTGAGGTTCTTTCTCGAGTTCGCCAACAAGGAGCAGAAAGAATCTAGAGGTTTATGTTGCAGATCCGGGGATTTGGGTAAGCTCGTGTTGGCCCAGTGGACAGCATGCCATTTCTTGGACCGTGATTTGCCACATACTGATACGAGCATGTCAATTCCGTCCCCTTTAAATCCAGACAAATGAATATGGGCTGAGTGAGCCAGCTGGCATGGCATTAGGGTCCTCGCGAAGGCCCTGGCAAGATCGTTAGCGAGCTCGCAGATGCTCTGTGCTTGTTGTAGGTCGTTCGGAGCTCTATCTTTGTATAAAATATTCTCCTGAAACTGATTAGAGTGATAAAAGTCTTGTGTCGCTTCAAATCGATCCCACTCAAGCTCTAAAATGGCCATGTATATATCTCTCATAGTCTGAACAAATTCTTGTATTGTGCTCGCCACTCTTCGAAGCCCCTCCGTACTTTCTTCGGGGTACTTTATCCATGCCGATATCTGATGGTGCAACACGTTCGATGCATCAGTTGCGTATCGTGGATAGTTGTGCTTCAGGAGAGCTTCCAGAGCGCGCAGCTTGGCGAGTCTTGGAGCCTGGTTGGCCTGGTATCATGTCAGCAAACTGCTTGGAGTAGAGACTAATGGCCATAGTAAAACAGCCAAAACCGTGTTGCACTCTGGCAAGGAATGCACTTTGCCAGGACCGAACTTACCGAGCTCTCTTCGAGGATACTGTCGTCGACCAGCCCATCCAGCATGACAAGGATATTTCCTAGAGCTTTGCTTGCTCTATCAAAGGTGCCTCCCGGTAAGTCAGACGTGATGCAGTCCTTGATCAAGTCTCTCGATAGCTCCGTTACCCAATTTCTCAACAGGGTTATCTCTTCACGCCCTACCCTTCGGTCTTGGTTTTCGGTTTCGAACAGATATATCTGATCCGCATGTAGTTTTCGCTTTGGGCAGAGCGGCAGCGCGTCGACGAATGCCTGCACGACGGCTAAGAATAGCTGCACGTCTGCTTGGGCGAGATGCATCGTGGTCAATTATTGGTAAATATGGGAGCTATAATGTATTGTGGTCGCCGGAGCCGTAGGAACTCCAAGAGAGAGGCGAGAGATACTAATTAGCATCAAACTTGTGATGAATAGAGTCCTCCAGCACAGAGAGCCAAGGCTGGTTCGTGCTGATGCTCAAGGAGGGGTTGGTTGATCAGAGACTGCCGTGTATTTATATCCGTACACAGGTACAGGCAGCATAGGTAATTCCCTCAGAACCCGAGATAGTGAACTAACAGTTATCTTGTTGGGCAACGTTTCCCCCTCGCCGGCATGGGTTGTGGCAACACCAGTCAATGTGGCGAACCGTACACAAACCTAGGTTTGGATCTAGGTCTATGTTCATGTTGGCGGATGGGCTCGGAATATCTTGTGGACCAGGATAGTACTAAATGTCACCGCGAAAAACCAGTTTGTATATTTTACTGCAATTTTTAATTGTACGGTAACAACTGGCTGCCTGCATCATTTGAACATTAACAAGACGTGTATTCACATATCTAGTTGCCATTTCTACATTGTGGCGAACCAATCACCATTCACACCGATCTTTGTGTTGGTTGGATCGCGTTGGATATGGGTGATTCTCTTTGAACAGTCCCTGGTTGGTCCTTCGGTCCTGACCTAATCTTGTGTTTCCTTTGTACTCTGCACGCCATTTGTGCAAGAACAAGAAGCGGATCATAACAGTAAGCCAGGTGTGATGGCGCGTTCAACCTTTGTTCAACGCCATAATAGGTCCACGTCACAATAGTAGCAAATTCCCATGAACATCAGAATGCCAGACCTGCAACTCGACGAGTGTATGAATTAACCTTTTTTCCAGGAGAGATTTGCTCAATTTGCCATGAGTGACTCTCCTCTGCTTGACAAAATGCAGGAAGCCTCTGTGGTCTGCGAGTCGAGCGAATCCATCTACGATGCTGCTCAGCTCTGTTCAGAGCATTTTGAACGTCAACTCCAGGCCGCAGATGGTGCAGTGGGTGGAAACTATCGAGAGATTGAAGAGCTATGGGGACGTTTCAATAAGCGGACAGCAGATGCTGGAGCTTTGCCGCTCCAAGGGCGTCTCTCGATGCGCGATTAGCTGCCGACGCAAAGACCAAAAACAGGGTACTCGAGCTGCTCGCTATGCTACATGAAAATCTCGGATGGGGTAATTGCGGTGCTTGATTATGCAACGAGAAGGTGCTGACAAGGCTGTAGCGAATTCCGCCAGTAATGAAGAGGAAATATCAGAAACCAGTCCTGGGCTACCTGCCATAAAAACTGCACTATATCATCTTCTCGAGCTATCAGAGGAAATCCGCCGCTCAACACGCCATAATGACCACAATGAGTTGTTTTACATCGCACTAGTTCAGAGGAGATTTCCCTTTGCGCGGGAAGGCCTTTGTAGACAGCTTGGAGCCTCCATTCATGAACGAGGAATATCGCTACAGTACCTGCAAGAGTATAACAAAGAGCTTGCCTATCGGCACAATGGCAAAGATAACTTGAAGACAATAGAGGAGATGCCCGAAGAACAGATAAACGCTGCAGCGGTATCGTCTATCAATAAGGATATGGCGCCCAAGGAAGAGATGGTCGCACAGGAACCTGAAACACGCCATCCTACAGTCGCATCCTCTGCGATGGGTCGTATCAAACGAGATACGACATATCCTCCAAGCACAATTACCACCAGAGGCTCGATTATTCGAGATATCCAGCAGGTCAAATACGACTTCCCCCATAAGCCGAGGCAAGAAAACGTGGAAACGCACCAGTCTTGCACAATCTGTGCCATGCCTCTAAACCTGCCAACTTTAACAGACAGAACTTGGGAGTATGCAACAATATCCCCTTCATTAACTAATATGGCACTTGTTCTAATGTGTCTACAGAGCTCATGTTGACCAAGACCTGGAACCTTATGTTTGTGTATCTGAGGACTGCTCTAACCCCGGTTGTTCACTAACCTGCCCTCCTAGATGGATCATATGAAGATACAACACTCAATCGACTGGTCAAAACAGGTTCACACGGACAGGTGGTATTGTGATGTCAATCACACGGAAGCCGGCCGGAATTTGACACAATAGCAGAGTTTTCAAATCATCTGAATACTTGTCATAGGGATAAGCTCTCGCAGTCACGGATTATGGGACGAGGGAGTAAGCGGCAGGGATGATGCCAATTTATCTGCGCTGAATTAGCGACCACATCGACAGCAATGAACATCTGCACTGCGACTGAGAGTCGAGCAACTGCGGAGATTTGGTCAAGGAATCCACGCTGGACTGGACCAGCCTTGAGGCTGCATTTGACTTTAGAGTTGCCATACCAAACGATAAGCTGCCAGAGTCACACCATGATCCGAGCTACAGTCTCTCCGAGAAGGCGCTGGAATGGGAATTTTGGCACCCTCTTTCACTGAACCGCAAGCAAATAGGCCCATCTTAGTATGAGAGTCCCGCCAAGGACGAAATATTGATGCGCCTCTTTCAGGAGACTACACTCATTTGATGAATGACGAATACACTGTTGGTTGGATCTGCGCTCTATCGGCTGTATGCGTCGCCGCCCAGGGAATACACATGGAAGCGCACTGATATAGGATGATTTTGTATTTGATTATGAATATGGATATTGAGTAATATATTTGTGCAGAGCCAATCATTGTTTCAAGTCTTGGAGTACCATTTCACGCATACGAGAGAAACCGACCAAAGTGGACTAGTCCACGATCCCAGCGTATAGATGTACATTCACATACATTTATATAGGTATATAACGGGCAGGCTCCAATTTCGAAAGGCGGCTCACATCATTGGTTGATTGCGCCAGCGAATAGCAGCAAACAGCCTTCCAGCCATTGATGTTGCATTGCAAAAGAGGGGAAAATGCCTTGCCGCCTAATCCAAGTCGCAGCCCAAGCGAATTCATCTCCTAGAATCATTGCTAGGACTAACGCATGCTTCAACTCTTGTATACATTTTTGCGACGAGACGTTTCATTGTTTCGAAGAGAAAGCTCAAGACGACAGCCATGTCTGATCCTAACGTATATACCGTCGGCTGGATATGCGCCCTATCGACCGAATTCGTGGCCGCCCAGGCATTTTTAGATGACAGCCACCCGCCACCTGAGAACCTGCCCCCCAGCGATAGCAACACTTATAAGTTGGGCAGGATTGGCCACCATAATGTCGTGATAGCAGTCCTTCCCAATGGCGTATATGGGATATCTTCTGCGACAGGCGTTGCCAAGGATTTGCTGCGCAGCTTTCCCAATATCAGGATTGGCCTGATGGTGGGAATTGGAGGCGGCGCTCCAAGCGCAAAACACGATATCCGTCTTGGCGATGTTGTTGTGGCCGTTAGTAATGGTCAGGGTGCCGTGGTTCAATATGATTTTGGAAAAGCTATCCAGGGAGAAGATTTTCAAGAGTTGGGATATTTGAACCAGGCACCAATATTACTGCTGACGGCAGTCAACAACCTCAAGGCTGAGTATGAGCTTGACTTGGAGGAAAACCGCATCCAAAGAGGAATCGACAGTGCGCTGACTAAACGACCAAGACTGCGAAGAAATTATCAGCGGCCCGACGAATCTTCTGATAGACTATACCAGCCTCTGGTAATACATACAGCCGAAGGTGAAGCTGATTGCTCCACGGTGTGCGGTAACGACCCGTTGACACTGGTCGAGTTGAGAGGAAAGATATCCTTTGCTTTGAAATGGAGGCCGCTGGTCTGATGAATCACTTCCCGTGTTTAGTTGTTCGAGGAATATGCGATTACTCCGACTCACATAAAAACAAAGCATGGCAAGGCTATGCAGCCATGGCAGCTGCGGCATATGGAAAAGATCTCCTTGGCCAGATCGCTCCCAGCAGGGTTGAAGGCGAGAGAAAGATTAGCGAGGCTGTATTTGGTATATATTACAAATCTAAATAAAGACACCAACATATGTTAACCTTATCCAGGCCTCTATAACGTGGCAGAGGAACACTGCAATATTGCAAAAGAGCAGCTTCAGATACACAAGGACCTTGCTGCCAAGAGTCTCTCAGACGAAGAGAGAAAATGCCACCAGGCATTCCGTCTTACATCTAATAGCAAAGATGCCACGTATGAATGGTATAAAGACCGAGTTGAAGATAGAGCTAAGAATACCTGCCTTTGGTTTCTCAAGCATGATAACTTCCAAAAATGGATGAATCAAGAGTCAGGCCCTCTACTCGTCACAGCAGATCCCGGCTGCGGGAAATCTGTCTTGGCCAAGTATCTTATTGATCATGAACTACCACAACCAGCAACCATCTGTTACTTCTTCTTCAAAGACCAGGACCAGAACACTTCTCGACAAGCACTATGCGCATTGCTTCATCAACTCTTCGCACAAAAGCCAGCTTTGATTAAACATGCTATGCCGCAGTTTAATAAGGATGGACAAGCACTATCCAAGTCTACCGCGTCACTTTGGGAAATTTTACGAGATGCAACAAAGGATCCTGAGGCAGGGCCTGTAATTATAGTTCTTGATGCACTGGATGAGTGTGCAGAGTCTGAATTCGAGAACTTGATACGAAACGTTAAAGGCCAACTTCGCCATGGCCATATTGGCAGCAAGTTAAAATATCTGTTAACATGCCGTCCTTACGAGCAAATTACATTGCAATTTCACAGCTTATTACACTCATTTCCGGATATTCGTATACCTGGAGAAGAAGAGTCGGAAGCAATCAGCCAAGAAATTAACCATGTCATTACATATCGGATCAATCAGCTCTCGGTACAACAGAAGCTTACCCCAGAAATTACAAGTAACTTAAATACAAAGTTGCGAAGCATTCCTCACAGAACCTATCTCTGGGTATACCTTATTTTCAAGCACCTAGAAGAGGGTATCTACAAAAAAACTAAAAAGGGGATCGAGTCTACTATAGATACGCTTCCCGGCAGTATTAGCGAGGCATACGAACGTATCCTCAATAAGTCCAAGGAACGTCAGGCGGTGGAAAAAGCTCTGAGCATTGTTTTGGCCGCCCACAGACCGCTAACCGTCGCGGAAATGAATGTTGCCACAAGTCTAGTCAAAACATCACAAAATACCTACGACCTTGATATGGAGGACACAGAATCCTTCAAGTTACGAATCAGATCCCTATGTGGCTTATTCATCTCAATACATCATGATAGGGTCTATTTTCTTCATCAGACTGCAAGAGAGTTTCTCCTCTCAGAAACGGCGTCGCCTGCTATTAGCCTGCCATTGTCGAGCTGGCAGCGCTCTATTTCTCTTCGCCGAGCACACGCTACTCTGGCGGAGCTCTGTGTCATATATCTTGACTTATTCAATTCTAATTACAAGTTTATGAGAGAAATAGAAGAGATTCGCTTGAGACATAAGAACTTTCTAGACTTTTTGGACTACGCGGCTAAGAATTGGATCGAGCATTTCCGCGAAGCGCACATTGATGATGACGCTGCTATTGTACCCTCCACTATGCGAATTTGTGACCCAGATTCAAAAATTCGCTCATTGTGCTATAAAATCGCGCAGGGGGGCACAAATTTAAGATCTCCGGGCAAGGACACTACTGAGCTTATATGGGCATCGTACTTTGGGCTCACCGCTGTTGCTAAGCTGTGCCTTGAAAAAGGATCCAATATCGAGGCAAAGGGTATATACGGTGAGACGCCGTTATCTTTGGCGGCGAGCAGAGATTATGCAGATATTGTAAAGATGCTGCTTGAGAAAGGAGCTGATATTGAGGCAACGAATAAACGCGGTGAGACGCCGCTGTGGGGGGCAGCCGCAAATGGTCATGCAGATATAGTAAAGATGCTGCTGGATAATGGAGCTGATATTGAGGCAGCGGATAAATACCGCCAGACGTCGCTGTATTGGGCAGCTTTAGAAGGTCATGCAGATATTGTAAAGTTGCTGCTGGAGAAAGGAGCTGATATTGAGGCAACGGATGAAAACGGTGAGACGCCGCTGTGGGGGGCAGCTGCATATGGTTTTACAGATATTGTAAAGTTGCTGCTGGAGAATGGAGCTGATATTGAGGCAACGGATAATAAAGGTAGGACGCCGCTTTGTCGGGCAGCTGCAAATCGCAATGCAGATATTGTAAAGATGCTGCGTGAAAGAGAGGCAGAGCTTGAAGCAGAGCGCAGACATAGCGGCTAACTCAAAGTGGGTTCTTGTTAAGAATACTTCAAGGTGATGGTGAATGATAGTTTGATATGGCACACCTTGTATTTGCTCCGGTGACATTTTCTCATATTCTTACAAAATATCCAGCCAAAGAAGAACGGTGTTGAGAGTGTCTCTTTTTAAAGAATGGAAGTTACCTAGGGGGAACATGTGCGTAATCTAACTTCCCAAGGAGAAACAAGAGACATTGGGGATGAAATGTCTTTATTCTTTTGATTTTCCTTTGTATTTTCCACCTCTTAGATAGTGGCCAGATATCTGGGTTCGGCACCGCCGTTTACTTTGAACAATTCTTCCCGAAGCACTTTGGCCACTCCAGTGTTGACGTCAGAAGATAGGCTGCTGGTTAGCGAACATCACCGTTCGGCTGCTGAAGTTTTGTTGACATGGCATTTTGACGGGCCGCCGGGGCGACCGGACGGCGAGGCTGACGAATCCCTAGCGACTATCGGGATTCCTGCCTGCGAGGAGAGTGACGTCTGCTTAGCGATAGATTTCGGGGACTCTGCCCTCGCCTTTGTCACCCTGTATGATGCAAAGAGCGTCGATCCAAATATACCAAAAACCCAGTAATCTGGCAACCTGGATGGTTTACCAATGGGCGCGGGTCATGAGGGTTTGGTCCTCCGTATAACCAAACATCTTTGCGAGGTCCCATACAAGCTTTCCAAGCTGCTCGGAGTAATGAAAACTTCCGCGTCACATTTTGATTACCTTTGCTCTGGCTTGCTGAAGCAGGATTCCGAACTCTACCAGCACATCAACTCGCCTGGCCGTATGAATCATATCATGCAAACCGTCACAGTTCTCCGCGAGGCAATAGATGAGATGAATGAATTCTTGTCTCCGATAGCCGAGTTTGGAAGTCGGTAATGTCCCTCAAGATGGGAAGAGAGTTGCCGGATAAGCTGGAGAGACTGGGTCGGTTACACGCAAATCTGCTGTGAGAGCTCTCAGTGGTAGGTATAGAGCAACAGCTAATCAAAGACAAGGCCATCGTGGGCGGCAATGCGTCGACTCAACAGCTCGCCAGCTTTGAAGCGCGGCGCACTACATTATCGACAGATGTCGAAGACCTTCGTCTGACACCCGCATAGCCGCAGCCCTTGAGCACTCTGGGCACTTGTTCCACCAGCTTAGAGAAAAGTGCATACACCGATTCCATAGAAGCCATGTTACTAGGGAGCGAAGCATTGTCTGATACTTCACCGGATGCCGACTCTCAGCTAATCTTGACACCTCCGTCTGCGAGCCCCCGGTCTGAGAGCCCCTTATCCGGGAATTCTCCTTTGGCTCGGGGGCGCAAAGAAACAGATGCGGGCTCATATTGAGCGCAGAATGTTCCCGGGCCCAAAGCCGGTGCTCTATGGTAGTGTCATGTGTGCCCATCTGGAGCTCGTGCTCTTCTACATCCGAACATACTATACCAAGGGCAACTTCCAGCCAGAACGTACAGTCATGAAAACACGTTTCTGGACGGTGCAGTGACAGTATCTACCTTTTCAAAATTTACAGATTTGCCAAAAGCCCAGCAGTCGTTACGGGAATCCCTGACAGTCAATTCTGACGACGTCTTCGGCGATGGATCTGCCGTCGCCCTGGTTGAGATCCTCAGCACCTTGTCTCCCATCAACACAGCGGTCAATCCACAGTTCCAGAAGACGTTGCTCGCGTATCTCTACAAATTGGTCATCAAGCACCTGCCTCGATGGAGCATTGCGGTGGTCATCTCCAGGCTACATGAAGACATGGACAGCGCAGACTAGTCAGTAAGGGCGCTCACATTCATCGTAGACCGCTTACGCGCCAATCTTGACCCAGTAAATCAGCTAAGGATGCTCGCCGAGGAGATTTTGACTACTTTGCTACGTCGTGGCCACTATGACGAAGCGTTATACGTCTACAATGAGCTCTGGGATTAGACACCCCAAGAGCGCTAGTTGGCCCGTCGCTTGGAGCATAACTACATTACCCAGTGTAAATGGGACTTGGCCTTCGACGTTTACTTCAAGATTGTGGGCCAGCAGCCCTTCGACACTACTAAAGAATCCATGCCAGATCCCCAGAGCCACGACGAGTGGGCGGTATGGACTATGGAGGATATTGCCAAGATATACGACTGCGTTGGCAATTTCAAGTTAGCCATAGACTGGCTGTAGCAAGCGATAATCAGTGGTGGGATATGCTGGGGTGCTGGTGTGCGGCTTGAGCATATTCATGACAAGTTATTGAAGTTGCAGAAGCGGCATGAACTCAATCAGGAAACCCAGCTCTGGAGTACAACTTTTGGTCCGGCTTGGGTTGATATTGGAATCTAGCCAAGTAGAGTAGTAAACATATTGCATTAATTTATATGATATTCTTCAATATACTTGTAAAACTAGTCATACCAAATATCGCCACTTTGGCCTACTTCAATTTATGCCAATCCCGCCTTGCCCCTTTTCATTGCAATCTCTATCGCACTCCATCCCCTCTTGCTATTTGATCATCGGAGTATCCCTCCTTCACGTCCTTGATGTAAGTATCGAATTTGCCAGTCACTTTTATAGTATCCATCAAATGAATTGCTTTCATCCTACTGTCTCGAAACTGAGCCCATTGCCTGGCAGTGGTAATCACGTTGCGTATTTGACGCCCATTCATCTCATGCTCGGATAGCTCATCGATATAGCTCTCGATGTCATCATAGTCAATAGTGTTCTCTTCAAGGGACTTAAGATGACTAAAGAAGTTGAGCCAGATCCGAGCTCGTTGCGGCTGTGTCAGCGGCTTGTAGTGCAGAGCCAACTGTATACGCGACTTGAATGCCTCGTCAAAGGTGCCGACGCGGTTTGACGTTAGGATGAGGATGCCATCGTAATATTCCAACGCGCGTAGAAAGACTGACACAAGAGCATTACGCGCTAAGTCGTTGAGAGAGCGCTGTTCGAGAAATACCTCGGCCTCATCCAAAAGAACCACGCATCCCCACATTTTGCCAAGATGGAAGACGGACTCCAAGTATTTCTCTGTCTTTTCTGGTTCAGTTCCAATATCGCCGCAAGTCACAGCGTAGAGAGGTTTCTCCGCCATCTCAGCAACGCTCTCAGCGGTGAACGTCTTGCCGGTTCCCGGACCTCCATGGAGAAGCATGATTAGCCCGTTTCCCTTGTTCTGTATGAGATCGGTTCCTCTCTCGGCTGCAATTTTGTTTGTGACGAGGGTTTGAACTAGTTCCTTGGTTTCGGGATCCGCGACAAGATGCTTAAAAGCGTCTTTATTCCAGGATATTTCTTTGATCAGATCCACATTGAGGTCCTCTGAGTTGCAGTAGATTGGTTAGCGAAGCACTATGAGCCTTCTTGATTTGAGAATGCGCACCCCACTGTTTTCGTCGTAGATTGAAGCCAAGAATCGTCCGAGGTAGCAGATATATGTCGGGCTCAGACGGCGTTTCTTGCTCTATGAACATCGTATCTACCTTAGTTTCGGGCTCAAACCCCCATTTATCTTCAGATTCGGGATGCAGCGCTCGGTCAGTAGGATAGTCGATCATATAACGTTGCCCTGCCTGTGGTCAAGTTTAGTACAAAATCCAATGTCTCATCGTCTTAAGACTCTGGGGGGAAAAAAAAAACTGACAGCTGAATCTTCTTTTGTTTCTTTAGCATACGAAATATACTTCTTGTGCCGGCAGCTCCAAAATATTTTTCCTCGTTGCTCTAGAGATCCACGTAGTTCATGCGAGGCGAATCGAAGTGGATATACACCCAAATTCCGAATCGGGATTTCAGCATTTTCGATATCGGCAGAAAACCTTGTAATAAGCTTCCTCTTCACCCTGAAAAAGTTGCCGTTATATCCGTATGACCATACATCAACCTCCCATTCTTGTTGCTGATCTTTCTTTGTTGGTGACAGAGCTGCATGTAATCTGCTAGCTCCGTTGAAACTGTTTAGGAAATCGTCTGAAAGGTTAAAAGAGGACTTTTCTTTGTCTACTATATTCAAAGAAGATATTGCCAGATGTGCCTCGGGACTGTCTCCATTCATGCGAATCAGAACATCCCCGGGCTGTATCAAGAATCTCAAGGACTTTTCCGAGACCATCCCGAGTTCGAATTGGCTGTCGATTCGGCTATATAATTCACTGTAATTATCATCTATCCAATTAGTTAGATTCTTAATGAGCTCTTTCTGCGGTAGTGACATATTATCACAAATATTTGGTTTGCCACGGTAGCACCACCACCAAAGGTATGGCGCTTGCATCTGTTCGCCCGTAAAAAGCTGCGAATCTTTCTTCTTCAGATCTTCGTTATTCTTCACAAGTGCTTTTATAGCTTCTTTCATGTCATTTGAGACGAACCGTATCATTTCGCTTGTAGGGATGGGACTCGGAATCTGATTCTGCTGTCGAGCGTCGATGGATTCTGCTGGTATATCTTCGACACCGGAGTAATATCGCTCGACGATAAATGCGGGCGATTTGTATTGAATATACGCATCAGGGTATAAGATAGACGACTTTGCTTTAAGCTGAGGTCCTTCGCTACTTGTAGCCCAATATGGCCTCCCAAGATAACATGTCTCTGTTCCTGCCTCGCTCGAAATGTAGTGAAGCACTTCGAAATTGACTACAGGTTTATCTTCTCGCTGTAGCTTCTGTAGTTTTTGCAGCTTCTCATTTTCCATTTGAAGTGTCTCGAGTTCTTCTTTTAAAAACGAGATCAAAGCATCAGGCTGGCTTGGCGCACTCCCCAGTGTGTTGGGCTGAAAGCCATAGACACCATGATTGCTTGCGTCGCTAGTGCCATACTGAGCAGGTCTTGTTTTCATGGGATTATCGTTATAAAAGTGAAATGCTTGGGAAGGTAATCCCATCTGCATCCGTTGAGCCCTTGATAGGTGATGTGGTTGAAGCGATGTATATGGTTGAATCTCTTTTTGATACTGTTTATTATCCGCCTCGGTCCGTAAAACTTGGAATTTGTCTTCTTTGGCGCCTCCCAATAAAATCTCATCTCTGGAGATGGTGTAGTGAGTTTGCTTTAGAGCTACATCTTGGGCGACGATATCGTCCGCAATGTCGTCATCGCGTCCCGGGCTTTCTGACCTCTCCGGACTCTCTGGCGGCTTCAGACTCTGTGGCAGCGGCCTAACATGTGCGTATTGTCGCATCTTGATTCAATATGTGTGCAACAAACTCTTGTCGATACAGTGGAAATTAGATGGAAGCGATAATGGCGTCTGGGGCACATAGATATATCTACCATAGAGGAGGCCTAAGGCATACGTGCATGCACATGTAGCCTACTCTCCTCCCTTGGTCAAAGGAACATGCCAACATATACCAGGTTCTATCACCTATTGGATGATAATACATGTAACTACCTTGGATAGCCAGTGTTGCCACCCGGTAAATTCCCTTGGCTTTCCGCCTCGTGTCACTTGTTGGGCGTATGTAGTGACTCGACTGCGCCTCGACTGCGTCTCACTGCCTGCGCCCATCAGGTAGGACTTGGTGGCATCGCCGCATCACCGCATCGTGCCGATTTTGCTCCGGCTCGATAGCTATGACATACATGTAGCTACCTATCTAGGCAGCGATGAGTCTTAATGACTGACACCCACAGAGAATTCCCAACAGTGGCATACTAGAAACTGCGGCAAATCCAGCGTCATGGAGTCGGAATCTACATCCAGCGTCGCCGAAGAAGCATTCCAAGCCGCTGTTGAGCGATTTGCAGAAGATGGCAACCAAAGCAAAAATGTCAAGTCCATCTTCCAAAACGCAACATCTCTGAAAGATATCCAAGAAACAGTGGGTCGATCTATACTCGAGCATAAAAAGAGAAACAAAAACCCAAAAGCAATAAAATGGCTGCAGAAAAGCGCAAAAAGCGTTATATACTTTTCCAATGTATTTGACGTGTTTGTGCCGCACAATCCTCAATATGGATCGCTTGCGTGGGGAGCCATGAAATTTCTATTCACAGTATGTTAGTCCCTCGAAGATGAGCCCAACATCTAGACAGAAGAGTGTTACTGAACATCTGTTCATTCTAGGCGGCCATGGAGCATGAAAAGACCATTCAGCTCTTAGCAAAGTCCATCGCTCAAATTGCCGAGAGCCTCCCCCGAGCTCAGCTTTCATCGGATCTTTACCCGACACCTCAGATGAAAGTAGCGCTCGAAGAGCTATACGCCTCGGTCCTCAACTTCTTGCTGAAGGCCTATGATTGGTATAAGCAAGAGAAACTCTCGCATTTTCTTCACAGCGTCACACGGCCCCTGCATCGTGTTTACGCCGACCTGGTCGATGAAATCGCGGAAAATTCTCGAAGAATCGATCAGTTGGCTGCCGCGGCAATGCAGGCTGAATGTCGTGATATGCATCAGAAAATAAAAGTCATTCAGTCTCAACTGCAATTGATCGCGGCATCACGGACTGAACCTCGCGACTTGAATCAAATATTCACCGTTATTCAGTCTCAGCAAGACCTAGCGGCTACGAAGATGGATGTCATTCTCAACAAGATGGCATGTAAGTTAAATGCCCCAACTTCACAATTATAGCAGGAAAAACGCTTATTATGAGTAGCATATCATGCCATACAGTCAAATGGCATATTGGATACCAATCAAAGACTTTCGGACCTTCAGATATCTCAAATCCTCACTCACTTGTCCAATGTGCCACTTGACGACCCGCTTAAAAGCTTTCAGCATCATCTATTCTTCAGGAAACGACGAGCACAAGGAACAAACTTGTCCACAGTTACAAACGCCTTCTGGCTCTCTTCCCGGTTCCAGTCACTCTTTTCCACAGACGACTCAGCACTTGCTTTAATGAGGGGAAATTTCGCTACCCGGCAGGTGCTACAAGATTTGTGCATTGATGTCATCGACCATTTGAGATGTTCAAATATACCAACTCTCTGGGCGCTGAAGAAAGCTCCGACACCTACCAATGAGCAGGCGCAATTATCTATTGCCGATTTGCTCAAGTATCTGATATTCCAAGCCCTCCAGCTCAACGAGAGTTTGAAAACGGAAAAGACCATGGCCTGGCGCTGCGCGCAGTTTCAGAGAGCCACCACTGCTACAGAATTATTTCAGCTCTTGCTGGCAGCGTTGGACGGTCTTGGTCGACAAATTTACCTTGTAATTGACCTAGAGACAATAGAAGAGTCACTACAGAGCGTAGATGGCTTCAACATCGTGTCTGCATTCCTACAGTCATTCCACGCTTCGCAATCGCCAAACACACGACTCAAAATCATTATTGTACAGTATGGAGCGAACTCATCCGAGATGCAATTGGACAGTGATGCTGCTTTGGCAATTGTGCCAGTCAGAACAATAGGGCGAGGCAGAAAACAAGGCAAAGAAATTCGACAAAAGGTCAAGACTGCAGTTCGGCGCGGAATGACGAATCGAAGAAGTTGAACAGGAAATGCTATGTATCTTATTTGATCCAACTCATGCATGCTATATAACTTGAAAATCTACGACAACGACAAAAAATGGTAAATACGCCTTTTGTTTATACAAAGAGCCCTCCACATCGCACTCATAAAACTCGCGTCAAAAAAACGTCAAGCATATCATCGTCATCTGGTCTGGGACCTAGTCAGTGCCAAATCACAAGTACTTCTTTGGTGAATTCGCTCTCCGTCGCTTGTACAGCACATAGCCCACGACCAAGACGACCTGAGTTCCGATAATCACAGCAATCAGCTTTCCATGTCCAGGAACGCTCTCAGCGACTCTCTGAGTCAAGGAGTTGTGATGAACTCTGAGGGCGCCCTGCACCGATCGTTCGTTGTCCTGGAGCTTCTTGTGTAGCTCGTTGTTCATGTTGCGCACCTCGTTCTCCAGCGCAACAATGCGTTGCCGGAAAGAAGAGATTTCATCAAGCAGCTCGACCTTGCTTTGCAGAGCAGCAAGCAGATCCTTGATCTCATTGTGGCGCTGCTCATCCATCTGGTGGTGGCGGGAGACGGAGCGGTATACCGATGAGAGCTGGTGGTTGGTGCCCTGGAGGCGGTTGTGCAGGTCCTGGAACTGGGACTTGGAGGTCTGGAAGACGTCGGCCTCTTCGTCGACAAGGTCCACAAAGGACTCATCACCACTGCTCGACTGCTTTTTGTAAAGGACGTTGCTGCCGCCGTTGGCGTTGCCATTGTTGTTATTGTTATTGTTGTTGTTGTTGTTGTTACCGTTGTTGTTGTTATTATTGTTGTTATCACCGTTGTTAGAATTGGTGTCGTGGCTAGAGGTATCTGACATGACCACCATCTTGAAAATCTCAAACGAGTCGGGGTTGTCAGGAGTGGAGGCAGTCACACCAACATCGTATCCCGTCGGCAAGCTGACCCGGTCAGTCTCAAAGCAAGTCTTGCCATCGATCTGGACCCTGAAGCTGGTTGACGTCTGGCGCATCTTGATTTGCGATGGGCGTCCCAAGTTGCGGTAGCTGTACTGGCAGTGACCAAAGGCTAGCTGATCCACGCTGTGGTGCTGCGAATAGTCCACCGACCCGTCATTGAGGAAACCGCGGAGCATTCCGCCCTGGCCGCCATGCGAATCAATCACCAGCACCAATCCCTCAAACCGACCCGCGCTGTAGACGCTCTTGGCGCCAATGTCCTTTCCATGGTTTGCCAGCCAGATATTGAAGTTGCCTCCAGCTCGATCGGGACCGCTAGCACGGAAGTCGACGTCGACGATGAAGTTCGGGTGCTTCAAGGACTGCTCGCTCCATATCGCACCGCGCGCATTGCCTGGCGCAACGGGGGTGAGGATGACCTTGCTGGAGAGGATCTCGGGTTTGCTTGGCTGGCCGGAGACGACGAAGTTGGGGATGACGCCAGGGTTGTCTGCGGGGCTTATTCTAGAAGGCAGACACACGTTAGCCACCATATCCTGCACAATTCAGTTGTAACTGCGCAAACATACCGCCCTGCATATCCAAAGCTCATCTCGCTAATGAGGTACTGAGCCTCAGTCAGGCCGGCGCCCAGGAGGGCAGCCAGCGACACGGAGAATCGCATTGCGGGATTGGCGACGAAGGAATGTTTCAGTCCAGATCAGCGCTACAAATGGAGAGAAGCCAGACACTGGGAAGCGAGAATCGAGAATCGAAGAAGCCACAGGACGAGAGTCGCAGCTCTCAGCCGTTGATATAGCCGCAGCTGCAGAGGACACTTTGCACTAGAGATGCGCCTCGCGACCAGCGCCGCCAAGCAGCGGGTGCCAACCAAAAAATGAAGAAAAAGGAGGAGCAGAGTTTTCAAGCCGATCAGATTCCAAGACAGCAGCCAACAGGAATAAGAAAAGAAGCTGCACACAGGAAGAGAAAAAGAAAAGCAAAGAAAAGAGGAACAATGAAGAAAAAGAAAAAGAGACCATCTGGCTTCTATTCTCAGCAGCGTCCAACGGATCTCCAATAGCCTCGATTGGCAGGAGCCACTTACACCGCATCCAAGCTGTGGCTCAAACGTGGCGGGGCAAAGGCCTCGAACGCGCGCTAGTCCACAACAGGCAGCAACGCAGAAAATAGCGAGTGAATCAAGGTATGGGTTGTATGGGGTAGAATTGGAGTGTGGCTGCTGCTCCAATTATGTAATCCGCCCTTGATCTCCAAGTGGTCGCAATTTGTTCTCTACGATCTACAGTCGATCTGCCCTCTGCTCAGAGCTTCGCCGGCAATTGCGCATCTTTCGTTTTCGACGCAATGCGGTAGCGCTTTCGCCCAGCTTCAGAGACAATGGCTGAGTCGTACCCAACCTTGACGCAGTGCGCGCTGGTGGCCGCCGCGTTCAAGGTGCTCCTGTTCCCGGCCTAGTAAGTGTGCGCACATGCCAGCTTAGCTGCGATGGAGCTTCTCTCAGGTCACCATGAAGGCGGATTGTCGACGTTGGCTAATGTTTGCAACTTGCGCAGTAAATCGACCGACTTCGAAGTTCACCGAAACTGGCTCGCCATCACCAACAGCCTCCCCCTGTCGCAGTGGTACTACGAGAACACCTCAGAATGGACCCTCGACTACCCGCCCTTCTTCGCCTACTTCGAGTGGCTTCTGGCCCATCTCGCGCGGCTGGTAGACCCGGCCATGGTGCGGATCATCAACCTCAACTACGATAGCTGGGAGACTGTCTATTTCCAGAGATTTTCTGTCATCATAACGGAGGTTCTCTTGGTGTATGCTCTGCAAATGTTTATCGACTCCTCGTCCTTGCCGACAAGAAGGGCTGCCCAAGCCGCTGCGCTGTCTGTCATTTTGTCGCCTGGACTGCTCATCATCGACCATATACACTTTCAGTATAATGGCGCAATGTACGGTCTTCTCGTGGCGTCTTTGGTACTGGCGCGCTGCAAGTCCACGCTACTGCAGAGTGGCCTACTTTTTGGTGCGCTCCTGTGCTTCAAGCACATCTACTCTTACCTTGGGCCGGCCTACTTTGTTTTTCTTCTGAGGACTTACTGCCTGTCATCGAGATCCATCTTCCGAATCAAGTTTCTGAACTGCGTCAAACTTGGACTCGGACTTGGAGGTATATTCGCGGGTGCTTTTGGACCATTTGCTCTGATGGGACAGATTCCCCAAGTTCTCAGCCGCCTGTTTCCATTTTCTCGCGGTTTATGCCATGCTTACTGGGCACCTAATGTCTGGGCGCTCTATTCCCTGGCTGATCGAGTTCTGATTTACTGTAAGCAGAAGTCTCAGCCTATACATCTATGTATTGTAAGACGAGAATGAAACTAACAAGCAGTAGTTGCACCAAAGCTGGGATTGCCGATAAATGCCGAAGCTTTGAACAGCGTCACTCGTGGCTTGGTCGGCGACACTGCTTTTGCGGTCCTGCCTGAAATTAGCCCTAGAACGTGTCTGGTCTTGACGCTGCTTTCTCAGGCTCTGCCCCTGATCAAGCTCTTTAGACGACCAACCTGGGAAAACTTTATTGGAGCCGTGACACTATGCGGCTATTCATCTTTCCTTTTTAGCTGGCACGTGCATGAAAAGGCAATTCTCTTGGTCATCATCCCATTTAGCTTGATCGCCTTGACGGACCGACGACACCTCAGTGCATTCCGGCCGCTGATTGTTGCGGGCCATGTATCGCTTTTCCCATTGCTCTTCACCCCTGCAGAGTTTCCGATTAAGACGATATATACAGTTTTCTGGCTGGTGCTGTTTCTCATTGCCTTTGATCGCCTGGCACCAGCATCGAACAAGCCACGAGTTTTCCTCTTGGACAGATTCAGCACGATTTACATTGCAATCAGCATCCCTCTAATTGCGTATACGTCCCTGTTCCACCAAATCATATTTGGAAAGCAGCTAGAGTTTCTTCCCTTGATGTTTACGAGTTCCTACGCGGCGATAGGAGTGGTGGGCAGCTGGGTGGGATATATGGTTGTGTATTATACATCGTGAAGAAGTATTCGGAAGGATAAAAATCGAGGGCATCATGATACCCCAAAGTTAGACAGATTAGAACCGCTTAAAGCTTTTTTGCATCATCTTTTGCTGCTGTGTTGTAGCCATCGTAGGCAAATCTTATGCGACGCCTGAAGTGCGGCATTGAAGCCGGCTTAGTCACCAGGTAGGGTCGGGACGTGTGGGGCGCTCCACGTGAGGCGAGGCTGAACGATTCCCGTTTTGTGTTTGGCGGGTGGCACTAACGCTGAGGCTGGGCGGTGACATTGACAGGGAATGCGACAAGAAGCACAAAGGGCCGGCGTTTGGGGAGAAAAAGATCAGGTAGCAGCGAGGAGTGAAGGCTAGAGGTGAGATGTATGGCTGATTGGGTAAGACGAGGTCATTTGTCTGCTTTCTTTTTATAGATGATGTGTATGATCGCAGGCGGAATGACGTCAGGGCTAGTGCGTCGAGTTGCCCAATTTGGAAATTAGGGGATTTGCTGGAAACATGACTATTGCTGTATTTGCAGGCCGTATATGATACTGGATTACAGAAGGAAGTGATAAATTCGTGTGGCGCAGTTCAAGTGTGTTACTGCGTGGGAGAAAATTGCGCTGTGGCTGCCGCTTCAAACGGCGTTCAGTGCACACGTCGCGTCTCTCACTCCAGAGTGGCTCCCGAGGAGGAGAACCAGCCCGGCTCCGCCAATTCGACCTACCTGCCGCCGCGGATCCGCGCCGCGCACGTAACGAGGCGTAAAATGATGGAAAATGGGTAAATCAGCTCAGTTCAATTTATGTATGGTTCTGCGAAAATCTGGGAACAAAATGAGTGCAAAAAGGCGAGTGTTGTGATTATTTGTGGCAGGGCTGTGCGTATTGAAAAGTAAAAGTTGGATCAATGGGTTCTGGGCTATTTTTTGCATCTTTGTGCTTAGGCCCTTGTTTTGGGGGGAGGACGGGCGGCGGAAGACCGGGGGTGGGAAGGAAGGGGCATAGAAGAGGGAAGATTGGATGGTGGCAGACAGCATTTTTTTGGCCGGCATGTTTCCGGGAGGTGCTGCGGTACGGGGGAGGTACATGGGCTGAGGGATGCGATTGGGTGATGGAAGCGCTTACTTGGACACGCGTGGTGAAAGATTGGTTCTTGGATGAGAGTTACTATACTAGCCGCTGTATCTGAAATGGGAAAAGCAAGAGATATCCGGAGATGTTTCCTTTGATTGCCTCGTCTCTTTGTTTCATCTCGGCCTTGCAGTGCTTTTGATGATGCGATGCGTGGTGTAATCACATCCTTTGTTTGTCCATCTACAGTCTACCGTCAAATGCACAGACTCTACGCATAAATTCAAGAGAGAATCTTCTTCCACGCTTAGAATAACACTGATACCCAATCAGCATCAGCAACAGTGCCCTCTTTGTTCGCAATCCTCACAGCAACAACGCCAAGTACCCCTCAGGTACCCCTGCTCCCACGGTACCGACCGAGTACCGCCCACCGCCAGCAGCCAGCAGCCAACAGCCCCCTTCGACCAGGCCACCGAGCACCGCTAAACCGCTAAACCGCTAGGCGCTGGTCCCCACGGCGGGACGCATTTCCCTCGCAGCATTACCTAAAGTCCCGGAACTTGAACTCTAGCTCGTTCCGTGGCAGCTCTTCCTCCCACCCGCGCAATTCTTTTTTTTCTCCTCCTCGTCCCCATCGCTTGCACGTCACTCGGTCGCGTCGTCCTGAGGCTCCAACCCGCGGCCACCACCGCCTCGCATCTCGAATCCGCAGAATATGCCCGCAGCCGACCTCGCCGTCTCCTTGCCCGGACCGCGTTCCCTCTAAAGCCGCCAGTTGCAGCCTCGTGTAAGTGCGAATCGAGCATCTCGACGACCCGCCTCCCAGGCACCGCGACTTTTTCTCCCGGCCCGCCTCCACGCCGTCGAAGCCACGAGCCACGAACATCAAAGACACCGAATCTCTCTTACACGGCTTTTTCATACCGCCCATCTGCAGCTTGCTTACAGCTGGAGCCGCAGCGTCGCATCTCGCCTCTGCTTGGCCCGGATGCCTGTTCTGCCGGGTCCCTCGATTAGATAACGCGCTAAGCTTCCGGCTTCCTCACCTGCTCCTGATTCGGCCTCGACGCTGAATCTGCAACGCTTCTTTTTCGTTCGCCTTCACCGACCGCACGCTCGATCCCAATCCCGGCCGCAAACATGGTACGCAGTCACCGCCAACCACCCGAGGATTGTCCGCAGCTCACTTATACGCTACAACAGGTGCTCTATAAACGGAAGCCGGTGCAGTTTCTGCGCCCGGCTGAGGTCGAAGACGAGGACACCGAGGTATGGCAGACATGACTGATTCACCGCTGGGTCGCCTGCAGCAAGGAAGATGGAGTGCGGGGGCTGACTTTGTCTGATGTTGGCTGCGCTTTAGGTCTGGCAGATTCCTCAGACTGGCGAAATATTTGTGTCCTACGAAGACTATTTGAATCGGTGAGCCTGTCTTGTTTCAGATTCTAGTGCGCCACATTGCTGACGATTTGCCTTTGAAAAATTCTAGTATGGATTTTTACAAACAGGTGATTAACCTTGACCCCACCGCCGTATCTGTCGCATGCAAGCCGGTCGTGGAAGCATATATACTAAAGCTGCTTTCATAGCGTCGGTTCAATGACGAGATTACGGGCCATTCTGGTCTTACCTTCTTTGAGGCCCTCACCAGCGAGGTTCGTTTTACTATATTCCAATCTTCAGCTGATCCCTAGCTCATTTAGTCGTAACAGCGTGCTGGTGGTCAAGAAGTGGAGGCTGCTTTCCCCGAAGCGCTCAAGGGCCCTATTCTGCGCAAAGTCCAATTCCAGACCATTTCCCGCTTGGATAACCTCGTGGACATGGTATATGATGAATTTAAAGCCGACTTTTATCCGGGAGAGGATGTCTTTGTCACCCTTGACGAGTTCAACAACGAGAGACGCCCCTGTCTCGTGCGCGAGAAGACAACCTTTGGTGCTCGGATCTTACCAGACGGGTCGAGCTCTCTCCCTACAAGCCGGTATCTGGTTGTTCTCGGCGGTGGATCTGGGCAAGAGCAAATCGTGACGGATGACAACCTCAGCCGCGAGCGTGGTGCCTTCACAAAATCCATGCTCCGGTCTTTCATAAAGAGAACAGTTACCAGAGAGGCATGGAATGGCGCGCCATGGCTTGTAAAGAACGATTATGCTACCCAGTATCACATCGACACCAGGATCCCCCCTCACCTCCGGCATGACACCAAGATCCAGGAACGTAGGCAGCTTCTGGCGCAGAAGCGTGAGCAGAACTCGCTGGACGGCATAAATGGGCATGGGGCTGTGCCGGCTGGTCCAGTGCGCCTACCTGAATTGAAGCCTGCCCCTAAAAGCCATAAGGGCAAGCAGACTCCCGGCGGCTCAGGGGCCAAGGGTCTCAAGTGGCCTGGCGATATGGTACGCGATGGTGTAAACGGTGCTGGTTATCCACGACACGACGAACAAGCTGCTCTACCACGCGAGCCTACGCCTCCGCCCCCGCCTCCTCCACCGAAGTATCCCATTGAAGATTTGCAACTCGAGCCCCGGAGTGGCATTGTGCGTCCTCCTCTGAAATTCATTTGCAGAGATCCTCCTATCGAAATAGAAGACGATATAAATCAGCGCCAAACCTACCTGATCGATCGTATCCATCGCGGACTCGACATGGAGAGCGTAGGGCCTCTCTTGGAGACGTGGGATACACTCAATGTTTACTGCGAAATCTTTAAACTTGACTCGTTTACTTTCGACGACTTTCTCGAAGCGATGGAAGTTGCTAATTCCAGCAGTCCCGTTCAGCTGTTTGATGAAATTCATTGCTCGGTTTTGAAGATTCTCGTTGATTCTGAGGCTGATGGTGGCAAGGTGCGAATCACGCTGCCGGAGGTGGAAGAAGAGGACAGCGACGAAGGCGAGGACGAGGAAGGAGAGGACGAGGAAGAGAGCGGGGAAGAAGATGCTGCCCAGCCAGAGGACATCCCCGTGGCCAGAGCTACGCGCAGCAGCCTGGCAAAAATCGAAGCGGAGAGGCTGGCAGCCGAAGCAGCGGCTGCTGAGGAGGAAGAGGCTCGAGCGGAACAGGAGACAAAGAGCCGGGCAGAAGAGCTAATGAAGGAGTTTGACTGGATTGAGCACCTGCGAAAACGAAACTTTCAGGATGGAGGCTGGCAGAGAATTATAGTTGGTCTGCTACACCAACTCTCCAAAAACGAGCGTCAGCAAAAAGCATGCGAGGAGCTGTTGCAAAAACTCGTACCTGCTGAGATGGTGCCCTCCCTGGAGAATGTGAAGAAGCAGTATACCGAGCTGGATATCAACTACCGCGTCAAGGCCCTGCAGATTATCTGCATGCTGACCATGGAGACAAAAGCCGTGCGCGGCTACATGGAAGACTGCAGCGAGACAATGACCAAATACCGCAAAGACAAGATTGAGTGGCAGCGACAGCGAAAGCAAGTGTAAGTTTGCAGTTTTACCGGTGGGTTATGGTCTGGGGCATGCTCTTTTACTAACTATCCCGCTTTATAGAACTGAAGAGCTTAGGCAGCTGAATGAACAGCGTAAACTGCTGATGCCTGAAAATGAACCTGTTGAAGAAACAAACGGCACCCCCGTCAAGGAAGAAATCGACGTCAAGATGGCAGACGCGGACGAATCAGTCATTAGCAAAGATGACGAAGCCGAGGACGATCAAGATGAGAGTTCCAAGAAGAAGCGCCGGGGCCGCATCTTGACAGACAAGAGGAAGAAGCATGAGGAAGAGGAAAAGCTCAAAAAGGCGAAGGAAAAAGCGCTGGAAAAAGCCAAGCCACAGCAGTCGAAGCAGTACATCAAACTTTTAAAAGACATACAAAAGAAGGAGGATATTATCAAGAAGTGCGAGGAGGAAGTCGCCATCATCGATAACGATCTACGCGAGGCCGACTGCCCACGAACCCGCGTGCTTGGAAAAGACAGGTTCTGGAATCGGTACTACTGGTTTGAGCGAAACGGTATGCCCTATGCTGGGTTGCCCGACAGCTCTACGGCACATGCCGGATACGCCAACGGATGTATCTGGGTTCAAGGCCCGGATGACTTGGAACGGGAGGGATACATTGACCTTCCTACTGAGCTTCAGAATGAGTACACAGCCAAGTTCAACATGACTGTTCCCGAGAGGAAGACGATGGAAGAGGGCGGAAGCAGCGTTTTTACCGCCAAACAATGGGGCTACATCTCCGAACCAGAAGAACTGGACCAACTCATCAAATGGTTGGATCCTCGAGGTTTCAACGAGATCAAATTGCGAAAGGAATTGGTTGCCTATCGAGAGAGGATAGCCAGGCACATGAGAAATCGGATCAAATGGATCACCGGCAAAGATCTAGAAGCTGAAGAAGACGACAAGAAGGATGATTCGAAGGACGATTCGACGCGAGTAAGAACCAGACCAAGAGCTCGGGATAGGACACCAGAGCATCGCAATCCTTTTCGCTGTCTGCAGTGGGAGAACACAATGGCTCTGGACGAGCTGGGTCACCTGCACAGCGAGCCGCCTCCACCCCCGCGATCCAGGAAGCAGACGAAGAAGCGAGAAGCTATGGCCGAGCCGGCGTCAAGACCAGCCACGAAGACTCGTCGCAAGTAATGGGACACGGGTTGCGTTGTATCTCGCAAGTTTGAATATTGTTTTTTGGGAGATGGATCGTTCCACAGATGGGCAGCGAGCACCCAAATGTATATCTAAGTTGCCAAGTTGGCTCCTGGTTTATGAGCGGCGGATTTCGATATCTCTGCTACCATGGAGCGTTTCCGGATATAGCGCATCATAACGACTGGTTAGATGGACTTTGTATTAGAATTAGACAGGAGTTGGGAACTGATATGAGAGAGACGAGAAGAAAAGGCATTTTTGTGTTTGGTTTTGTATATTTTCTCCATTCCCTTCCGTTGTTTACATGTTGCAGGTATGTTGCAAGGGAGACTTGTGTATATAGCCCATTGAAAACTTTAGTGCTGTTACAATCGAAAAGCTCAATTGGGAACAGCTCTGCTAAATGAAGAGGGATTTTGTAATTGTTGAGTGGCGTTGCTTTGTGAGACGAGTGACTTTGTAAGGATATTTGAGGTATGGAGAGGAGGTATTTGAGTAGGTTGGAATAACTGCCATCTCGTGGCCAGACTACTTTGGATTATCATGATGTAGTTCAAGACTTCTTCTATATGCATCGACAAGACGCATGATGAAGTGCTTTTTCATTTGGTTATAGCTTTTTTTCTAACAGTGGGATATCGCTTGTTCAGCGTCCATTAATTAGACGTTGCTACCAATGGCATATTCAATCCGCACACTTTCGAAAGCTTTTTACGAGGTAACTTGTACAGTGATGTGTATCATGTGAGCTATGGTCTTGAAGTTTGTGGATACATAGCCCAGACAAACATGGCCTATCAACTGATGTGGAGAAGCAGTAAGCTAGATCTATATTCTGGGAGAATGACCAACTTGTTCAGGCATCCCGCTGCTATCACAGCGCCGTCATGGTCCTGGATGGCGGTAGACGGCTCTGTCACATTGCTACTCGAGCATGGATCTCCGACAATATCAAAGCCCTGCTGCTCCGGTGCAAGATGAAGGGCACCTGGGCCTCTAACGGGGCATTAGCAAGATTACTCCCAAAGAAATCAAAAAGTTTACTCCCCTTCAGAATCCATGTCTCGGGCCGCATTGGCCGTGCACTTCTAGGACAAATGGAAGACTCTAATTTTGGTTTACTTGATGTCAAGGGCACAGTGAGTCTCATGAGGCACGGCACCCTGCTGATGGACCATGTCAATTATGTCAATAAATCTCATTCGCGAGATATGAACTCGATACGAATAAGCAACTTTTTGTTTTACCGGCTATTTATCGCAATGGCGGGTCAACACAAGCGCTACCTTTGGCGGGAGAGGAGAATACTAGGGGAGAATATGTCTATTGCAGACTTGGAATCTGTTGGATTCGGCGTCCTGGAATATTTGAAGACACTGGAGCAAGAGATTATCATTAAATAGCAGATGTAATGACGACTATTTAGAAATTGCAAAGGGAGCGACTGAGGACAAACTTTTTTTTAGTTTACTTGTGAATAGGCAAGCAGGAATAAACCAACGACTTGTTTGAACGAAATGGTATTATAATAAGCAATCTTCTGGCGCAATATCTATGCCGTTAAACAATCTTGTACTTCAATCCAATCAATCCCAACATCATTTCCCCAATGTGCATCATGGTACCAATCTACTAAACCCCTCTATATCCAAGACTCGTGAAAATAATCTACTGCTTACCCCCCTTTGCATTAATAACGCTAATCATCTCCTCGCCCTTTGGCGCCGCCGTCAAGTTCTCGTATCCATCTTCGGTAACAAGAATGTCGTCTTCGATACGGACACCTCCGACACTGTAATAGCCTTCGAGGACGTCCTTGTCGATGAATTTGGCGTGATCTGGGTTATTGAGGTAGTAGCCCTCAATGTACTCGCGGCAGAAGTAGCTGATAGTTCCCAATGTTAGCATACTCAAGGTAGAAATGAGGAGAAAATAAAACGTACATGCCCGGCTCAACAGTGACAATCATGTTTGGCTTCAGCACCTGCCTCTCCCTGCTCGACTTCAAGCGCGAAGGCACCAGCTCCTCATCATACAATCTCATAGTTTTCAGCATATCTGCAGAAATCATATCCCGCTTTCCACCATCCAGGCCAAGGTTTACGAGAACCATCAGTGGCAAGTTGCCCGGGACATCGTGCACCTCCAGGCCGACATGGTGGCCCAGCCCGTGTGGGAAGAATGCCGTGATGGTGCCGGCCTTGGCAATCTCCATCAAGTCGCCCTTGAGAATGCCGAGCTTGTGGAGACCCTTGAGGCCAACCGCAGCAGCGTGGAGATGCAGCTGGTAGAATTTGATGCCGGGCTTGACGGCGGCGATGCATTCCTCCTGCATCTGCTGGACAATCTTATACACGGCTGAGCCGTTTGTTGAAAACTGACCCTTGATGGGCAGCGTGCGAGTAATATCGCTAGCGTAGCAATTCCATTCGCATCCCGCATCAAGGATGACAAGCTCCTTGCCCTCCAGGGGCTGGTCGTTGTCCTCATAATGCAGCGTCGAGGCATTCACGCCCGCGCCCGCAATCACGGGATAGGCCTGAGAGCGAGCTCCCCGCGCAGTGGTGACGGCCTGGAAAATGGCCTCAATCTCGCGCTCATTGGAGAGACGCAGAAGCATTTCAGCAACCTTGCGATGGCCCGCACTGGAAACGTCGTTGGCGCGGCGAATCATGGCAATCTCATACTCATCCTTGATGCATCGCGCATTGTTCATGGCAGGCTGGAGTTTCCAGTCGTTGACCTTGAACTTTAGGTCCTTGGCCTTTGACGGCGTCTGGTCCGGGTGCAGGACAAACAGCTGGGTTGATGATTTGAAGCGCGACTCGAGGAACTTGTCCAGCTGCGTTGAGTAGCGCACATCGTCGACGTCGTAGAGCTGCTTCGCCTTGGCGGCATCGGGCGTTGAGCCGAACCAGAGCACTTGTCGGGGCTCGACGTACGGGATCCAGAGGGTGAGGGTGTCTGCGCGGATCTCGTAGGTGACGAAGCAGTCGTGGAAGTTTGCGCCGGTGAGATAGAAGAAGCTGCGGTGCTCGTTAGCAGTGAGATACCACAGACGCCAGGCCATCAGACGTACTATCTGCGCTGTCTCAACGGCGGCGGCTGGTCCGAGTCTTCGTAGTTCACAGTGGCCTGGCCCGGCAGATAAATGATGCCGTCGCTAATGTCCAGCTCCTTGGCGACTTTGCGCGCATGCTCCTTGGCTGGCGGTGACGAGAGGCATTAGTCATATGCGCCAATCTTGATCAATCGCGCTTCTCATCCGCCTGTCGCTTACCGGGATATTTCTTTGATTTCCAAGTGTCGAAATCATCTCTTCTGGCGATTGCTCTGTTTGTCGCAAATCAGTCACTCGGTCATTTAGGAGAGAGCCGGATCGGGTAGCAGCGCTTACACTGCATCAAACTCGTCATCGAGGATGAAGCTGAAATCGACGTCTTCCATCGTGCCGGATGCTTATATAAGATATGTGCTGTAGAATGCGACAAATTTGCAATGCCCCTCTGATATGCGCCCTGGGTAAGGCACAAATGATGGCGATGCAAGTGATGATGCTGATTGTAGATGAGACCAAGTCCAGCACGTGAGTGACATGCTAAGAGCTGTACCTGATCCCTATCGCCCGCTATCTGATAGCAGAGCCTAGGCTACCCCAGGAAAAGGGAGCACCAGCATCTTTTCGGTTTAGCGTCCTGGCGCTCATCCGGTGTCAGGGGCCGAACCGCGTCCAGCCTCACATTTGGATTAGGCCAGAGTCTCTGACGGGGAAAACCAGTTCAGCTGGAGCCGGAAATCCAGAGAAGATGAGATTGCTCGTCTAGATCCATCCAGCTGAGATGCAGCCCCTGGATTCTGACATGTACATGGTACATATATGCATCCGTTTCCAGTTCCTTCTGCAAGGCAGCTTACACGTATACATACCTACTTTGGCACTTGGCTGCTGCATCTCCTCGCCGCAACAAGGCAAATTCACATCTTTTCCCGCAGATGAAAGTTCATCAAAGACTTGGAATTGTATCTCTCGCTCATTAACATGATGAATATGATGGCAATTCAAATTACAACAACTATCAGTATATCCAACATCAAAATGCCCACTGTCCAACAACTGCTATGCCACAGACCCCCAAATAAAAAGATAGAATCCAACATTCTTCACTTCGTCCCTTTTTCTTCAACTACACACATAAAGTGCCTGCCTGTCATGACGGATATCCGGCTACTAGCATCGGCTACCGCTTTATCCCCGCCTCACACAAAACGCAGCCAAATCTCAAACAACAGCACCGCAAATTAGACCGCATCTCACAACCAAGGAATTCTATTACGTCTTCATCAACACCAAAAACTCAAAACTCAAGCTACAACGACACTAAACACACTGTACATAACACCAATGTACAAACTCATCATACTGCAAGAGCAAAAAAAAGGGAGAAAAAAAACCCCATACTGTAGGCAGTTCCCCGAAACCCCGACCCTCTTTACCTCGCACTGTCTTCGGTGCCGAGCCGGCCACCTCCCCAAACAAGGAACCCGAACCGAAAAGAGAGAGAAGAAAAAAAAAGTCGGACATTCAGTCGGCCGTTTCGCCGGTCCAACATGCCTTTCTGCGTTAAGAGCACACGTAATCACCTCGACGATGCCCGGTGCGGAGCAATTCGACGCTGAAAGCTGAGAGCAGACACAAAACAAGAAAACAGCGCTGAAGACAGCCAACAGCGTAAAGGTTGGAACTAACGAAAGCTATTCTGTCAATACGATGTTTAATTCCTAAGAATGACGATGATGAAGAGGGAATACGCAAAAGTGATGACGAATGCTATCGTTATTTTTTTTTCTGGAATTTTTTTGTATTGCTACCTATGTGCTTGGATACTGGCTTGTAGTCCGCTGGGACACAACACCACTCTTCGACATCTGACCAATGTACATTGTCGATCAAAAAACATCTCTTCCTTCCCTTCTATCTACACACACGCACTGTGATATGCTCGTATTGGTTTGTTTTGTGTTTTCATGTCGAGCCTGCCGCCAACCGGGGGAGTAAAAAGAAAAGATGAATGGAATAATGATGACTGTGAAACTGAAGCTGAAAATAATGATATGAGACCCAATGAATTCTAAAACACCCGCCATAATGTTCGAGGTATAAGAGATGTTGGTAGTCGTAACATGCAAGTCTCGTGACATTTTCCGCCCACATTGTCCAATGATTGGGTTATCAAACGCAAAGAGAAAATGGGGGTTGAGTAAAATAAAGAAAAAGGAAAAATGAATAGACGCCCTCCTCCCCTCCCGGCAGACCGCAAGGCTTTCCCGTCTCATATCGTCAAAAAAATGGGTATCATGTGGCAGTCGTTCATTCACATTCCCTGAAATCCACCCCTGCCAGAACCAAAGAAACTCCCCCAGTCGGGTTGCATGCCGTGATCCGTAAACATCTGCTCTATCTGCCGCTCCTGATGCCTTTCGCCTCGTATCGGCCGTCGCAGAGATAGCCCGCCAGGTCGTCGCGGCTGCTGCTGTGGAATTTGCTGCTGCGGTGCCTGTTGGTGCATCCCCATCATGACGTTGGGGTCGTACATGTTCCCTGGCATGTTCATGCCCATTGCGTTGTGCTGCTGCTGCTGTTGCTGCTGCTGTTGCTGTGGCATCATATATGGCGGAGGCTGTCCCATAAACTGATCTCCCATGTCCTCCATTGATGCAGGGAAGAAGAAAGCCGTATCCGGAGGTGGATGGCCCATCGCCACGGAAGTGTCAGTCTTCCCTGAGAATCCTAATTCGATCACCGGCTGGTTCGGATAGGCAAAGGGGTCATCCGAAGGAAACATCAAAGAGTCAATCTTATGCACAGGGTTGCTGTGCATGCTCTGTCCGCTGAGATGATGTGGCTGGAAGGGGTGTCGGTGTGTGCTCTCAGCGGTACTCGTAGAGTCAGGCGTGGCTCGTGACGACAGGTCCATCGGCATCATATCGTTCAAGCTGCTGGTAAACGAAGGCTCTGGATATCCATGCTCCAATGACTGCGCCATGCTGCTGTCCATGGAGCCCCTGGAAGTCGAGGTTCCGTATAATGACATGCCACCACTCCTGCTTCGCATCAATTCATCTGGTCTATGTAGAGACATACCAACGGGGATGACGCTGTTATTTGGTATTTTAACCCCCGGCGCCGTCCTCTTCTTTGTTGTGGATGATGGTCGTGAGTGGGTTGGATCACCAGCCCGCTCTGGTAATTGATCAAATAGGACCTGAAGGAGCATGTCAATAGGAATTTCTTGCGAATAACAGGAAAAAATCAAGCTGTCTTACCTTGAGAGTGCCCGTGACTCTCTCCGCAGAAAGACTCTTGTCAGCCAAGTCTGCAATCATCTGTCTTCCAGCCCGTGCATCGGCCAGCACCTCTTGGGACCCAGGCTTATCCGGATTCTCAAGGGCATAAAACACCAGCGAGAGGACGGAAAAGAATTCGGTGTAGAGCATGAACCAGTACGGTCCGCTAAGCACGCGCTGTTTCCGGATCTCAAGGCCAATGTGGACAATGTTGCGAGATACGCTGATGGCTGCTGCCGCACAGGCATAAGAGAGCTCATCAACCCTGCTGCCTTGGCTTAGTCGAGGAGAGACGTAGTGCAGAAAAGGTCGATACAGAACGAGTTGCACATGAGCATAGGCAAAACGCAGCAGATGTCGGACACTAGTTGGAGATTTACCATTAGCCTACTTCTTGGCATATTCTCCATGGCTCGAAAGATGGATAAAAAGCAACTTACCGAACTACTTCAATTGGCCCATCAGGACTAGGTCGCCACGCTTGTGGAAGTCTCTCAAACCAGTTGTGCAGATCAGTTTCGATTTCCTTAATCTTACTGTAGCTGATGAGATACGTCGACGCAAGCTTGTCCCCTCTCATGACAGTGTGCCCAACACCCTTTGTCGGGTAGATGTTCTTTGTGATTTTGCCCAAGATTTCCATCAACCGGGTGTGGGCGTTGAACGCCTGGAAAAACGAAGGCGTTCCAGGTCCTGGCTGGATGACACCACCGGCCGTGATAAACTCGTCGTCAACTTCCAGAGGATACAACTGGTCGACATCCTCATTACTGAGAAGCAGAGGGAATCCAAGCATGGTGGAAACGTAAATGTCCATTTGCCGGATGACGTAGAAAACCCGTCGTCGAACTTGCTGCTCGATACTTCCTAGCCGTTCATGTTGTAAGTGGCGGTGGAGGCCTATTCGCAGAGATGATCGAAGCGCGATTCCAATGAATGAGTAACAAGTGTTGAGGTTCGCGGTAGACTGGAGGAAAAGAATTATGAAGACAAGAGTTTGGATAGATATGAGATTCCGGCACTCGGTAACATCACGCAGCAGAGATCTTGAGATCTTGTAATACTTGACTCTATTAGAATTGTTGTTAGTAAACGCCGCCGGCAAAAGGAAATAGAAACGTCGGCATGTCATTCTCCTCTTACCCTTCATCGATGGCCTGTCGATACGACATGCCGCCGGAACTGGAGTCGTCCAAATTGCTGTACATGCAGCCCAACGCTAAGACGGCATAAAACAGAGCAAGAAACGGGGTATCTTCCTGGGTTGAGGCATCATGTTGTCGCTCATAGATGTGGTCGAATTTTTCATAAAAACTAGGAACATGAACGATGCGGACAAGGCATGTGGCGCAGCTTAGGGAGTAGTAGCAGAGTTTTCGAGCGACGTCCTTGGGAGGGAGGTCAGGGACGGTGGATATGTTTGAAAAGGGTGAGTTGGCAGCAGTAGTGGGCATGTCGAAATTGACGAGGCCTGCAGTTCTATCAGACGGACGTGGCAGAAACGGCTCCCTGCCCATAGGGCCCAGCAAGCCGCGGAAGTTTTCCTTCATGCGCCGCAAGAAAACAGTACCGGAGGAGATGCCGTAGAAGTCCCATCCGCCCTTTTCGTCGAGATCCAGCTGGCCGATGGAGTCGATCATGGACGTCAGCTGCGTGTCATTGGGATCAGGCTCAGCGGGAGCATGGTTGACCCTTAGCTTGGCGGCCTCGGCGCGCGCTCGTTCTCGATTGTTGAACTCTTGCTGAATGGCAGGGTCAAGGGTTGGATCGGCCAAGTCAATGTCGGGAACAAATTTTCGCAGCAGCGTCTCGGCGCGCTGAAGACGGCTTTCCAGGGCCTCGATATACTGCGGCGCGGGATTCCTCCTCCTGTTTGACGGCTTATCATATGTACATTCTTTGGGAACAAAAAGGTTATGAAGTTAGCAAGGATATCTCAGCAAAGAGGTGCGTGCATGTGTATGTGTGTGCTAGTCAGGGTTGAAGGGGAAACGGCATATATGTATGCAGTCAAGATATGGTCATTGAGACGGCAATATCTGACAACAAAACCACTCCAGAAAGAAAGGTGATGAGCTTCTTGTCCGGCATAGGTACGCACCGTAGCTGTAGACGGAGCAGTGAGTGCAGGGCTGCTTGCCGTCACACTTGATCTTCTTGCGGCGACACTCGTCGCAAGCGCGGGTGACTCTTCGGCGTTTCTGGATGGGTTGCGACGGCGCGGCATCACCGTCGGCGGTCATCTTGTCGTCCTCAGGATCGGACTTGACGCTGTCGGCCGGCGACGGGGCATCGTGGATGGACCAGTCGCCGGCGGGCTGCGACTCGATGGTGGCAGCCTCGTCGTCGGACATGTTGGCGAGCTAGGTATATAGGCGTATGCGGTGGATGGGTGATGGGTGATGGGTGACGGGTATGAGTATGGGTGTCCGTAGGTGCTGTAGGTCAGAATCGAGGGGCTGTTTCCGCTCTGTTCAGCTCGTCCAGACTCTATCGTGCTCGTCTTTCGACGTGCTCGGACGGGCGGCTTCTGGGCGGGGCGCGGGCTCAAAGGGCCTGGCCGCCTCGAGTGGTGTCTGGTTACGTGAGGCCAGGCGAGGGGTGAAGGCGGAGAGGCGTCTGGAGTTTTGGACAGTTGAGAGAGACAGGACAGGACAGGACCCCGGGGACGCAAAGTCGGTGGCAGCGTATGTGCCAATTGCCCCGGCGTCTGCCAATCTAGGCCATCAGATTCACCGCGCAGTCTCTCCCCGGTGCGGAGCGTGTTGGCGAGGGCTTTGGGCGGGAGCGACGTCGACGGAGATGGCGCGCAGGACCAGCAACAAGGACGAGAGGGAAGAAATAGAGAGTCGACGAGCTGGAAGGGAGAGGCCGTCCGCTGTCGACGTCGGACGGGCAGGCCCCGTACTGTGCTGTACATGTACCTGCGCTGCAAGTACAGGCCGCGAGAGGGCGCTGTGGCTGGCTGGGGTTGGCGCGCCGGCCGCTAAAGCCACCTGTGCTACAGTGGCAGGCCGCTGAAGACACTGGGGCTGCAGCAGCCTGCAGAGCGCTGAGTGGAGCGGCACCAGGCTTCAAGCAGTCCAAACTGGCTGCATTACGGCACGCCCGCCGACCGACAGCCGCTTTTGGGGGCTTGCAGCCGCTGGAAGAGCGAGCGGACGCTATGCGCGACGGTCTGAAGCGAGCAGCAGTGCGCTCGAGGATAATCCACACGGTACTTCGCTCAAGGCTAAACGGCCTGAAGAAAAAATTGAACAAGAAAGCAGCAAACATTGGGCCAAATGTGGGGTGTTGCGAGGGCTGCCATTGAGAGCGCTGCCGCGACTGGAGACTGGAGTACGAGGTACGAGGCGCATTGGGGGGGAACACACGGAGCACGGCACGCAGTACGAGATGCTGCTGCGCTGGATTGCGTACGTCCAACCCACTTCCACCGGCGGGCTGGGTAATCAATCAATCAATAGGGGAGAGGAGGCCCGTTGGCGGTGTTGATGTGGAAGGGAGCGCTTATACGGAGCTCCCTAATCCATCCATACATGCGTGAGCCATGAGCCAGCCATGCGTCCTGCTGCTGCTAGTGGCGCGTGGCTGGCCTCAAGGATTCTGCGAGATTCAGTCGTCTACATCACTGTATCAAGTTATCAACAGCGGCATACTGTACGAGTTCAGTTGCTTGAACTCGACGGAGTTGAGCCCATCTCTTTGCGCTATAAAAGTGCGCGCTTGGTTGAAATGGGCGTGCAACGCGAAGACTGATGTGCAGGTTCAGAAAATTATAGCGCCTGCCAGCATCCGCGCACCGATATAGACCTGCAGCTGCGGGTACAGGCACCAGACCTCGATCTTCACCATCAGCTTCCACCGCATCAAGGCTCCAGATGCGATACCGACTGGCATCTCTATCGGGCCAGCGACCCCATCATGTAGGGAGCTTGATGCTCTCCTCGGTTGCACCGCGGTTCTCTCGGGTGCCTGTGCTTGGCCATGGCATGCCGATTGCATCTGCGACCGTCCATCCCGTCCAGTAGCACAATTGAACATGCGGCGTCTCCACTGCCGGAAGAACGCCCAGACGGCCAGATGGATACCGATACGGAGCGCATATGCGACTACAAAACACTCAGGAGGGCCAGATTTCATGCAATCGCCAAATCTTGAGCTCAGGAATGCAGCGCCAGACCCCATGAATCAGAGGCCCAGACAGGAAACGCACTGGCGAGACGTCATACGCTGGCAGCGATGAATGATTCAAGCGCGTTGACGCTGCTTTGGCGGCCCGTCAAGGGCCTTCGGCAATCACAGTAGCTCCCCGACGCCTAAGCAGGATGAACGCATTCTCGTACGACTCGCGCTCTTGATCCAGCCTGTGCGAGCATTCAAAGCACCAAGCAGTCGAATATGGCTGCCGGTTCAAGTTTCTTCCTAGTGGCTTACGAGGCTTCAGCAGGCGCTTCAGCTACTGCGCTGGCGTCGGGGGCTAAAAAGTTGCACCCACTGTAAATTAGGGCCGCATGGCGCGCACCGCTCCACTGGCCTTGGACGACGGCGCCAGAACTACTTCCGCGTGATAAACTGCGTCCCGACGTCAAGCTTTCTCTCTTGTTTCGTGGAATGGGATGGGCGAGCTCGGGCGACGTCTGTGTCGCTGGAATTGGTCGCTGGCCCTGAGGCTGTGCCCGTCTAGCCCTCTCCACTTCCCACATGGCATCCCTGGGAGCGTCCGGCGCCTCGACTGCCATTCGGGCGGGCATGTGCTTCCGAAGTGAAGGCTGGAGAGCTTGGCTGAAAAGCTTGGCCTTTGAGGCGAGACAATTTGGCAGAATCAAAAAGCTTGGTATCGACGACGGAGCATACAATCTAGATGCCAAGATGGCACCGACGGGACTGCACCTATGCAGCGGCTTGGAGGGATGGATGGATGGATAGATAGGGTGCCATTTGCCAGATTCCAACGTCTAGCGGCCGAGTTGTAGATCACGGCTGAAGAATTCTACAGTCATGGAATTGCGATTAGAGATGGAAATTACATACCTACATACATGTAGGGAAATACTCCGTGCAGCTTTGTCTTCAATTACCATGTAGGGCAGATGGCTAAAGAGAGGGACTGTCTCAGCTGCTTAGACATACAAGCCATGTTGGAATCAGGCAGACTGGACTTCTGACTCCAATATGAACCCTTCTAGCAATAGCAAGCTATTTGCTCAAGACCCAAGACGTGAGATATCCAAAGGCAACTTGCAAATCATCGATCGCGCAATCAGATAACGCATCTCCCATCCCCAGCAATCATTGGCGCCTGTCGCAATTTTAACTTTGAGATAACCACCACAGCTGGCTGCACTATTGGACGGCACTGCAAGTACAAGTACGCGCATCTTGTTCTTTGGCAGGGCTCAAGCGATCATTGGAACTGCCGCCAACCACCCAGTGCGAGAGACGATACGAGACGCACTCCATATCACTATGAGTCGGATTTAGCGTCGACAACTGCATCTATCTAGACTTCTGTCTTTTCGATCCGTCCCCGAGTTTATCGGCAGCGCATCGAGTCATTGCAGCGGTTAAACCGAAGCTTGAATCTAAACATACAATTCACTTTTGTCTCCGAACAACATCTCTGCGTCAGGGCTTTATAGCCACCTGCCTCCATGTTCTTATACCGAGCCTTCCATGATCCATCCACCACAACCAACAGTCCCACCGTTACGCCTGCACCAATATCCGTCTTATTCCCACATTTCTAGCGTTTTGCAGCTTTAGCAGCGCGGGATAAGGAAAATGTTACGGCGAGGGCCTCCGCGTAATGCGGCTGTTGCGGCCACACGGAGTACAAGCGCCGCGGGTACTTGGACCTTTGCCCAGCGCCAACTCTGCCATTTCCAGGCACTTTCTTATTCTCGGCGCTGGCCTGCAAAAGGTCCTTGCAATCTGCATGCAACAATGCGCAAGGAGCTGGCACCGCGCGCAGCTGATTGGCCGGCAGACACATACTTGTACTGTAGTTTGGTGTGTCGACGGATCCTCCCCGGCCCTTGGACGCAGCGCTGCAGCGATAGGGCCTGTGATGCTGCAAAAGCTTCTTTTTTTATTTCTCCTATCGCCCGCCCGTGGAATAGAATTTGGACGTGAGCGCACAGTTTGGCGATCGTGGGGACGAGCTCGAGATAACCTTGATTTAAAGTGCAGGACATGCTCCGACTCGGCGGTCAGCTCGACACTGTATCATCTACAGTGTACATGTACACGGACTCATCCATGCTTTGCTGAGTTGCTGCGTAAACGAGTCGTGCCATGCAGATACGCTCGGCAATTATCAGACCAGATAATGGCTGAACTGCAAATCCCTACGCAATTCGTGCTCTTCTATTTTCCTTCGCTCTTCCTTCGTATTAGTTCGTTCCTTCTCTCGCTCTTTATTGCGGTTACATTTTGTTTCTCCCATCGGACCCTCTTCCCGGAGTCTTCGGTCTTCTTGGCGCCTGTCACAGTCCAAGCCCGACTTTAAAGCCACAGCGGCATTACATCACCTTGCCTATGCCAAGCTTTTGCGCCTCCAAAACGAGATTGCCGACAATCGGGTCAGCCAGGATAACCCACAAGGCTGGGAATTGGCCTCGACCTGACTCTCACACACCACTGCAAAAGTCATATGTAAACGACAGCCTTTATCTGCTCCTTGGCAAGACCAGAATCGGCACATGCATCCATCACAATGGTACAAGAAGGAAAAGAAGGGAAAAAACAGGTAAAGGTACTTTTGCACTGGCAGAATGAAGTTAACTGCACTCGGCTAGCATGCTTCTACTTGCTCGGCAAAGGCAGATATTGCTCAAAGGCAAGGTCGCCATGAGTTGTGTCCCGAATTTACCGAGCAGGCAATGGCCCAATTAAACACTCTCGCGATATGATTAATTTTAAGACAAATTAGTCTATCCATTCTTGTATAAACCGCACATCACCCTTCTACAGTCTCGACAACACTCTAATGGACATGTAATTATTGACGCCGGGAGTCTTATGCATCAAGTCGCTTACAGACTCGTCGACACCGCCCATCACTTCGATTAATCATGCAGGATGGTTGGTCATGCAACAAACAAGCAAGCAAGCTTCTCCTGAATCCAATTAATAGAGCCAATCAATCAAGTCTCGCTCTTCGGTTAAAGGATTACGATACGTCAAATTCCGAGACTTCTCCGTACTGGGACAACATCAAGACTGGCGCATTTTTAAAGGCAATAAACCTCCATCTACCCAACGCCGTCTTCGAAACGACAAGTCTTCTTGCAGGCTGTCGATTTGCGTCCCCTGACCAGACGTATATTAATTTATGAACCGATCGTCGATTTCCGCACCAAGACCCAGATGGCGAGGCCCGTTTGCACTGCCACTCGCGCAGGATACTCCTTTTGCGTGGATCAATTGCAACTCTGGCACTGGCCTGGTCTCTCCTCTGCCGGCCCCGTATGGCAATCTAGATGATAACATATTCAGTAGCAGCACCAAGCTGAACAGCTCACCACTCATCCCCTGCCGCGCAGGCAGATCACCGCCAGCTACCCTAGTCTCTTATTATACAAGCAGCTAGAAGCAGTAGCCGATTCCCCCTTGCGCAAATGAGGTCTAAGCCACCATCGTGTATCGGAAGACGGCAAACTAGTGGGTTGAGCTGGTTCATCCGCCGTCTCCCAAGGGCAAAGGGGGCCGTGGCTAGTACGGGAACAGTTTGGCGGCTACGTGTATGCTTCGTAAATTGTCAGCTGCTTACTCTGATTATGTCTCGCACTGTATTTTTTTGAGCTGTAGTTGTCGAGTCTTTACAAGTCTCAGAGGTTAGTAACACAGGCATTACCCAGAACCTGGGCCTGATAACATGCAATCGACAGTACGCGGATCTGGCATGGCTCATGGACCGAGCTAGAGTTGCAGTGAGATATGCGCTAAAGCAGATCAGTTCTCATCCCTATCGTCCATCTACTCCAATCCCTCTATAATATCATCAAGAAAATAAAATAGAGTGTAGAATACATCTAGCTTGCTGAAGATGTTTGAAAATTCGTTTTACAAAGGTGCAGGCAAGCAGCATGCAGTCGGCGCAGTGATGCGTGTACGTCAAGCTCCACTTTACTAAGACGCGCGCTTCCGTACATGTACCTCTGTACTATCGAGAGCTTCCACTTCGTCAACCCCGCCAAACCAAACTTCCAGCTATGCGCTCCATCACACTCTGAACGGCCCCTCCACCATCTGGAAGGCTGAGAAGCACGTGCAGACAAGCTTCCTGTTTCTCTTCAGCCTTGCCAAGCAGCAACAGCATCGCCTCATCAAAAAGCTGCATCACGCTGCGTCCCCATGGCTGAATCAACGACGTCGCAGCCGGGCTCGGAGGCTCAGGCGTACACCACGCCAGACGTTATCGTCACTGGTAATTATGGCCCTTCTGCCCCACATGCGTCCATCACGAGTAGCTGACCTTGAATCGGTGACAGACGTGCCCAAGCTTGACATTGATCTCTATATTCAAAACTATGTCGGTACGGTGCTCCCAAAGCATTTCCGCTGCGATGCTCGCCCTATGACTACATCCACGAGGTTCTAACGCTTCCCATCATCGTCCTAGGTCGAACACGATTCGAGCGCCTGATACTTATTGGCAAGTGCTGTGTGCCACTGCGAGTTGAAGCTCTCAAGGCTGCCGTTGCCGAAGCAAAGAGCGGCTTAGACATCGCGCGCTACAACGATGCGTGCGCCCTGCTCAGTGCAGCTGCCCCGGGCGATCCCGATGCGCGGATGGATGGAGCATGGGTAGAGAACACCGACATTGCCAACAGAGCCGAAACTGCTCGCTTGGAGACAGAACTTAAAGGTTACAGGAACAATCTCATTAAGGAGAGTATTCGGGTAGGAATCATCATTCTCCCTCGACTTGTCTACGCGACTGGTCATCTATAGATGTCATGATGTCTAACTTGCTCGTTTCTGTCTAGATGGGCAACGAGGATCTCGGCAAGCATTTCGAGAGTATAGGCAAGCTTGTTGAAGCTACAGAAGCATACAACAAAATGCGCCATGACGTTAGCACCACCAAACACATTTTCGATTGCGGCATGCACTTGGCTAGCGTCGCTTTTCAGCGCCATGACTGGGCCAGTGTGTTGAGCAACGTTGGCAAGATATCCAATATGAGCGGCGACGACGAACAAGAACAGCAGGCCTACATCAAGGTGGCATCAGGTGTTGCCCTGCTGGGAATGGGGAATTTCCACGATGCGGCCATGACCCTCATCCATACCAACCCCAATGTGTCCCCAGCGGAATACAGCACAGTCGCGAGCCCCAACGACGTCGCCATCTATGGCGGCCTTTTGGCGCTGGCAACTATGGACAGGACGGCTTTGCAGTCTCGCATACTAGATAATCAGTCCTTCAGGACATTCCTAGAGCACGAGCCGCACATTCGAAAGGCGATTAGTTTGTTTGTTAACGGCAGATACTCGACTTGCCTTTCCATCTTGGAGTCTACGCGGGCAGACTATCTACTCGACATTTACCTACAACCACATATCCCCGCAATTTATTCCTTGATCCGCGAAAAGTGCATTGTCCAATACTTTATACCCTTCTCGTGCGTCACGCTGGACAGCTTGGACGCTGCGTTTGGAAAGCCCGGTCAGTCCGTTGAGCCAGAGCTCATCAGGATGATTCGAGACGGGTCTTTGAAAGCCCGAATAGATGCCAGAAACAAGGTATGTTTCTTCCTCGCTCTGCTATCTCTCAGTTATGAATGCATAATTACTTACATATCGTCTAGCTTCTAGTGGCCGTATCCTCTGATCCACGGCTAGTGGTACAGACAAATGCACTCCATGTGGCACGGAAATACGAGCTGGAAGCAAAAGAGCGGCTACGGCGCATGAATATTATCGGTGCAGGCCTCGAAGTCATTGGCGTTAAGAAACCACAGACTGGCGGTGTAGGAGGCGCTGAGCCCGAAGAGGCCTGGTTCGAAGAGAATCGCGTAGCCAGCCTTCTCGCCGAGCAAGCTCAGGATGCTTAGGATCATCCTGAGGTAATGCAGGCTCAGCCTGAGGAAAGCATCCCAGAAGTGTGCACATTGCTCTATTGAGCGTTTGTGGGAATACTAACCAAGGGTATGAGAGGGGAGTCGCACACTGATTCGACTGCTGTTCCGTGATGAGCGAGTCCTTGGTATCCTTGTTCAGCCGCCGATGGCGAAAGAGAGGAAAGCTCATTTCCTATCCAAAGGGAGAAGAAGGGGGGCAGCTACGGTTATGACGGCAACCGCCTTTGAGACTTGAACGTTACACGCATGGTGTGCATTAGAGAGGGAGGCGCAAGGAGAACTGGTCTTTTTTTTTTATCTGCTACAGCCCCCAATTGTTAGAGGCATTTTTATCTTTTCCTTCTCGCTACTAGCATATGACTTTATGACGCATAGTCATGTCTAACTCTCCACGATAAGCCTGTGATATCAAGCAGTCGATATGATACTGATAAGTCATGTTTCGCTTAGTGACGCCTCGTACTATATGCATTCTTGTTTGTGTATATTGTCCAATTGAGACGGGTATCATATCCTATTACACTTACACCACTGCAGTTCCAGCACGGTATAGCCACGCCTAAACCATTTCGTCGTGTCCCTCTCTTCCCAGCCCCTTACTTCAGTCCATAAACCACGAAAATCACCCCATCAACTGCCTCAAATCCTCGGGCGGCCACCGCACCTGCGCAAAGGTAAGACAGCGCTTAATGCTCTGCAGGTATTTTCGCGTCACCTCGTCGCCCATGACGTGGCCCTTTTCTCCATCGTGCAGCTTCTCACGCGCACTTCGCTCGTGGATACCCACCATGGTGACTCCAATGGGCCAGGCTGCTTTTCCGATGCTGAGGCGGAGGTAGCCGTCGTTGGCGTCGACGTAGCGGCGCTCCTGGAGGGCTTGGACGATTTCGATGATGGGTTGGAGGAGGGAGTCGTCGAGGTCGCCGGATTCGAACTTGCGGAAGAGCTGTGCGATCATTTTGGTCAGTCAGATGTTATAGTGAGAATGAAATGTAAGAAAGAAGAAAAGTTACGTACTGGCTTCATGTTTTCGCGGGTTTGGACCATGGCGCTGTAGGCCATCTTGCTGTTGCTCGTCTCCCGCTTCTCTTCCTCCATTGCCTTTTCGTATGCCGTGAGCACCATGGTAAAGTAACTGGCCAGCTGTCTGTACAGCCACTGGCGGCCCTCCTTGTCCTTTGGCAGCGTGCCGTCGACCTTCATGTCCTTCTCCTCCACCAGCTGCAGCGTCGTCGGTATAGGTCCCTTTGTCAACACCGTAGTGAGCTTCTTATGCCGTCTCAGCCGCGCTGCATGTGATTCCCCAAATAATATCGCCGGGTGTCCCAGCGCCCTGAGTTTCTCTTTCAGCTCGTCATCTGGGATATCGTCTGCCGCGTCGCCGTTCTTCTCGTCGCCGTTTTCATCGCCCCTGACGAGTTCCGGCAGGCCGAGCCTCTTCCTCCTAGCCTGCTCTTCTTCGAATTCCTTCTCTTGTTGCCTCTTGCGCGATTCTTCGGCAAGTTTGCGGCGCTTGTCCTCGCGAAGGGCGTTTTCGGCGGCGACTTCCTCCTCGCGCTTGCGCTTCGCTTCGGCCTTGGATGCGCGTTCGGCTTCGAGGGCCTTTTGCTCGGCTAGGTAGGTGGCTTTGCGTTCGGCTTCTACTTCGGAGCGCTTGAGGTATTTCTTTTCGTCGGGGGCGGAGGACTTGGAGGATTTGGATTTGGATAGCTCTTTGTTCATGAGGGCCGCGAAGTCCATGGTGATGGTGTTGCGCTGTGAAGCGTCTTGATGAGGGATGAAGATTTGTGTCCAGGCGGCAATGTGTCGCTCGCAGTAAAAGAAAAATTGTATGATTGATGCGGCAAGACAAGATTAATCCGCAATGCGATTCTTTGATGGAATTATCTGACAGTTTTAAATGTCGTAAAGTCTATTTGATCAAGAGTCCGGTGAGCGTAGAAGTTCCAAGGTACGCTATCGATTGCGGATGATTTCCGGGTAATACGTATCAATCGACAGCATCAGCACTCATCCACCAATCCAGCAACTCACAACTTATACGCCGAATGTCATATATAGCATTGAAAAGTAACAAGCTTTTTGACGAATTGGGACTTTGATACTCTTGGCTCAACTCAGATTACAATGTCCGCTACAAAGTGGGATGAAGACCATGACGCAGCTCCATTCTTAGTCCGTCTTTTTCATAAGACCGGCAGCTTTCCCAGGTACGTGACTGCAGCTCATGATAGTATCTTTGATGGATGGGAACAATTACTAAATATCATATTCAGGCCAGAGGAATTTGCATCATCTTCACTACCGCCATATGTTTCCATCTACACTTGGTCAACCTGCACACTCAATGAGCTGGCCCTTGAGCTGGCAGCGGCAAAACCTAATGCGTTGCCAAATCCAGCTGTCGGCACCAGACTCTCATTTCAGCTTGTCTGTCCAGATTTACGCGGCACAAATGCTGCTAGCGCTACGCAACCAAAGTTTGCCGTCAAAGAGCTGGGAAGCATCGTCATTGGCGAGGGCTACCCCGGCGCAGAGGACGCTGAGGACGCTGGGCCTGATACCCTGATGAGGGACGACTTTGGGAAGGACAAGACGTTGGCTGACTGGAGATTTGTCGTTGGAGACTACATATCATGCGCGATCCTTCCTCCGCGGGGAGATGGGGCTGTGGTACCGCCAGGGACTGGCAGAAGAGGGTCGGTATCTGGGGGGCGAGATGGGCGCAGCGGTGGATTCAGAGGTGGATTTCATGGCCGAGAGGGCAATTTTGGCCGCAGCAACGGTCGTTTAAACCGGCCAGGCTGGAGAGATACTAACAGGCTTCCATCAGGCGAATGGAGAAGAGGAGAACAGCTACCAGAGGGGCCGCCTGGGGGGCCAAGGGGCAGGGGCCGCTGGTAGGCCAGATGGGATTTTGTTTCAGTGGTTGAGATTGCGCAAGATACGATATACCCCCGAGTAATTAATTTAGCGTTTGAATTGAGGCAAAGGACAGTTTCCTTTGCTGTATTTGATAAATCCAGACTCCAGTTCCATTCCTCATACAATAATAATGAACGTGCAATTTAGGCACTCTCCCTCCTCCTTCAGCAATTCAGCCTACCACATAGAGTTGCCCAGTACTTTCGTAATAGTCTCAACTTTGAAGCTAAAAATATTGAATTTTCTTCGATTATTCGGCCGGCAAGAGGCTCTCTATCTCGTATCGAACCTTTTAAAATGTACATAAAACTCTCCACCCAACCAAAATCGTCATTTATTTCTCGTAGCATGTGTCGCCCTTTCGCTTCGCTCGGAGATCCCAAAGGCCCTACCCAACGTCAGTCAGTAACTCGTCATCCCTCACCCTTCCCCTCCACATTGTCCGATTTCCACTCACGTCTGTCTTGTATGCGGCCCAGCCGAAGATGGCGGGGACGACGGCCATGTAGATGATGCTGATTCTGGCGGTTCTGCCCGTGAAACGGAAGTAGCGGTGACGAGCCTTGTTCATCGCTGTGCGGCGAGTTAGAGAGGGGAACGGTACGGCGAAAGAGCAATTGGATTCGATGGATATGTACGCACCTTCCAGCTTCAGAAGAGCCGGGTCCGGCTTGACGTCTGCGGTTTTGCGGTTAGTTGAGCCATATACAATCCTGCGTGAGGAAACGTACTAAGGTGCGCCATCTTTGCTGATTTGTGGTGGCGACTGGCTTGGTCTTCTTGAATTGAAGTGGTATCGCGATGGCTTGGCCTGGTGTTGCTGTCGGCAGAAGACGATTGTTCGTGATTATGTAATTGAGCTGAAGGGGATCTGATTGGCTTCTCGAGGCCGATGCCCCATTGATCAGGTACCCTGTAGCAGAGCTCAGACAGAGTATATGGTGGAATTTCAGCGAAGAGAGATGTAAATCCAAGTCAACTATAGCAGAATACTAGTAAAGGGGTTTTTAATGTATCAATTAACGAGTAGTTTCAGTTTTTATGTAAATTGTAGCTGTAATTGATGCCATGTTCGGCTCTGCAGCTTTATCTCAAGGTACCCCTCCACATCTCTCTGAAGCTAAAAAGTGTATGCTGGGATCAAGATAACTCATGAGCTCGCAAGATTCATACCATCGATAATCATTGAATCATGTTGCCAAAATTTCTTTCATTTAACACGAGGATTAGATATTCATATCTGAGTTGGCATTGGAAAATATAAGCCGATATAAGCATTTTGCAGCTTGTAGATATCGGCATCTTGCAGCTCGAGGTTGCAACAACGTCAAAGTCACGTGAGAGGCTAGTTTCGAGATGCAGCTAGCGCCTCCGAGGATCTCGTTCAAGAAATTGTCCAACGAAGGCGACGTTGAGCATCAGTCCCGACCCTGCATCAACTTCGCTCTGGCCGCCGTCTGATTTTTGCGAGGCCGGCATCTGCTTCATCCAAACAGAGGCCAGAGCATTCAATTTCACGTGGCCGCTGTCCTGTGTCTGCAATTCCAGGATCGCTAGCGCGTCTTTGACACGCGCCACGGCTTCAAGCCTTCGGGCAGGCAACTTCACGAATTGCTTCTGAACGAGTGAAGACGCTGTCATGTCGCAATTACCACCACCGCCGCCGCCTGGCTGGGGCCCTCCTCCGCCGCCTCCTCCCCCATCGTCATCTTTCCCACCTCCTCCGTCGACTCCTGCTCCTCCAGCCCCGCCGCCGCCCGGCTATCGACCTCCCGCCGACGCTCACATCGCAAAATTTGCTCAGAAGAAGAAGGAATGGCTTCGAAGCCAGCGAAATCGGTTCGGCGAGAAGCGCAAGGCCGGCTTTGTTCAGACCCAAAAGGCTGACATGCCCCCCGAGCATCTGCGGAAAATCGTCAAGGATATCGGCGATGTCTCGCAGAAAAAGTACACAAACGACAAGCGAAGCTATCTCGGTGCATTGAAGTTCATGCCCCATGCGGTTCTGAAGCTTTTGGAGAACATGCCGATGCCCTGGGAATCTGCACGAGAGGTCAAGGTTTTGTACCATGTCAATGGTTGCCTTACCCTTGTCAACGAGATTCCTAGAGTCATCGAACCTGTCTTCTTTGCGCAGTGGGCCATGATGTGGACATTTATGCGAAAGGAAAAGGCAGACCGAAGACTGTTTAAGCGTATGCGATTCCCGCCGTTTGATGACGAGGAGCCGCCGCTATCATGGTCAGAAAACATCGAAGACGTTGAGCCCCTCGAGCCTATTCAGATGGAGCTGAACGAGGATGAGGATGACGCAGTCTACGAATGGTTTTACGACCACCGGCCGCTGCTTGACACACCCCATGTTAATGGTCCAAGCTACAAGGGGTGGAACCTCACATTACCCCAGATGGCCGCCTTGTTCCGTCTTAGTCGACCTTTGATTTCCGATGTTGTGGATAAGAACTACTTCTATCTGTTCGATCTAAAGAGTCTGCTCACTGCCAAGGCGCTGAACGTTGCTTTGCCAGGAGGACCACGATTTGAGCCGTTATACAAGGATATCAACCCCAATGACGAAGACTTTGGTGAATTTAACGCCATCGACCGCATCATTTTCAGGAACCCCATTCGCACTGAATTCCGGGTTGCTTTCCCATACTTATACAATTCTCTCCCACGAAGCGTACACTTAGCATGGCACTCGCACCCCCAGATAGTGTATAACCGCATCGATGATCCGGACTTGCCTACATTTCATTTCGATCGTCGAATCAACCCAATCTCATCACGCAATGTGGCTCCTAAGAATGTTGAAGTATCTCTCGAAGATGAGCTTTTTGGGCCTGGAAGCAACGAAGAGCCCGAAGACGACGCTTTCGAGCTTCCTGCTGGAACGGAACCGTTCCTTGCTGATGAGGAAATAGACAATGAGGACACTTCTGCCGCCATTGAGCTCTGGTGGGCGCCATACCCATTCAACCGACGATCCGGCAAGATGGTTCGTGCCCAGGATGTGCCCCTGATTAAGCAGTGGTATCTGGAGCACCCTCCCGCAGACCGCCCTCCCGTCAAGGTCCGCGTTTCCTATCAGAAGCTGCTCAAGAACTTCGTCCTCAACGACCTACACAAGAAGAAGCCCAAGGCTCAGAACAACCAGAATCTGCTCAGATCTTTGAAGCAGACCAAGTTCTTCCAACAGACCACCATCGACTGGGTGGAGGCTGGTCTCCAAGTCTGTCGCCAAGGTTTCAACATGCTCAACCTGTTGATTCACCGAAAGAACCTTACCTATCTCCATCTTGATTACAACTTCAATTTGAAGCCCGTCAAAACCCTTACCACAAAGGAGCGAAAGAAGTCCCGTTTCGGAAACGCTTTCCACTTGATGCGTGAAATCTTGCGACTGACCAAGCTGATTGTGGATGCTCAAGTTCAATACCGACTCGGCAACATTGACGCTTTCCAATTGGCTGATGGTATCCTCTACGCCTTTAACCACGTCGGACAGCTTACGGGAATGTACCGTTACAAGTACAAGCTTATGCACCAGATCCGAACCTGCAAGGATTTGAAGCATCTCATCTACTATAGATTCAATTCTGGTCCTGTCGGAAAGGGTCCTGGCTGTGGTTTCTGGGCTCCTGCGTGGAGAGTGTGGCTGTTCTTCATGCGTGGTATCATCCCTCTTCTCGAGAGATGGCTTGGAAACTTGCTTTCTCGTCAGTTCGAAGGACGGCACAGCAAGGGTGTCGCAAAGACGGTCACCAAGCAGCGTGTCGAGTCTCACTTTGATCTTGAGCTCCGTGCTTCTGTCATGGCTGACCTTTTGGACATGATGCCCGAGGGTATCAAGCAGAACAAGGTCAACACTGTGCTTCAGCACCTTTCTGAGGCATGGCGCTGCTGGAAGAGTAACATTCCGTGGAAGGTGCCTGGATTGCCCGCTCCTATCGAGAATATTATTCTGCGATATGTGAAATCCAAGGCCGACTGGTGGGTTTCTGTTGCTCATTACAACCGTGAGCGTATTCGCCGCGGTGCCACCGTCGATAAGACTGTTGCCAAGAAGAACGTTGGTCGTCTGACTCGACTCTGGCTCAAAGCAGAGCAAGAGCGACAGCATAACCACATGAAGGACGGTCCGTACGTCTCGTCAGAAGAGGCTGTCGCCATCTACACCACGACTGTCCACTGGCTAGAGTCTCGCAAGTTTTCGCCTATTCCGTTCCCTAGTGTTTCCTACAAACACGATACCAAGATTCTGATCCTGGCGCTGGAGCGATTGAGAGAAGCTTACTCAGTTAAGGGTCGTCTCAACCAGAGCCAGCGTGAAGAGCTTGCTCTCATTGAGCAGGCATATGATAGTCCTGGCACAACTCTGGAACGCATCAAGCGATTTTTGCTAACGCAGCGAGCGTTCAAGGAGGTCAACATCGACATGAACGACAACTACAGCACGATCAACCCTGTATACGATATTGAGCCCATTGAAAAGATTAGCGATGCCTATCTTGACCAGTATCTGTGGTACCAGGCTGACCAGAGACACCTTTTCCCTGCTTGGATCAAGCCTTCTGACTCTGAAGTCCCTCCATTGTTGGTCTACAAGTGGGCTCAGGGCATTAACAATCTGGGCCAAGTTTGGGAGACTGAAAATGGCGAATGCAACGTCATGATTGAGACTGAGCTATCCAAGGTTTACGAGAAGATGGAATTGACACTGCTCAACTCTCTTCTCAGACTGATTATGGACCACAATCTTGCTGACTACATTACGGCGAAGAACAATGTTCAGCTCACCTACAAAGACATGAACCACGTCAACAGCTACGGTATGATCCGTGGTCTCCAGTTTTCTGCCTTTGTCTTCCAATACTATGGTCTTGTTCTTGATTTGCTTCTGCTTGGCCCTCAGCGAGCCAGTGAAATCGCCGGACCACCACAGAGCCCCAACGATTTCTTGCAGTTCCGCGATCGCGAAACGGAGAGCAGACACCCGATCCGACTGTACAGCCGATATATCGACAAGATTTGGATCTTCCTTCGATTTACAGCCGAAGAATCACGAGATCTTATTCAGCGATTCCTTACTGAGCAGCCAGATCCCAACTTTGAGAATGTTATCGGATATAAGAGCAAGAAGTGCTGGCCCCGTGATTCTCGTATGCGCTTGATGCGACATGACGTTAACCTTGGACGGGCTGTGTTCTGGGACTTCAAGAACCGTTTGCCACGATCCGTCACCACGATTGACTGGGATGACAGCTTTGTCAGTGTTTACAGTCGTGACAACCCCAACCTGCTCTTCTCAATGTGCGGATTTGAAGTCCGGATTCTGCCTAAGATCAGAAACCAGAATGAAGAATTCCCCGTCAAAGACAGCGTTTGGTCTCTCGTTGATAATACGACCAAGGAGAGGACGGCACACGCATTCTTGCAAGTCACCGAGGAAGATATTCAAAAGTTCAACAACCGTATCCGACAAATCCTCATGTCATCTGGTTCGACAACCTTTACCAAGATTGCCAACAAGTGGAACACTGCGTTGATTGCGTTGTTTACGTATTACCGTGAAGCTGCGGTCTCTACCATCGAGCTCCTGGATACGATTGTCAAATGCGAGACCAAGATCCAGACGCGAGTCAAGATTGGACTGAACTCCAAGATGCCTTCTCGTTTCCCTCCCGCCGTTTTCTACACCCCCAAGGAGCTTGGTGGATTGGGAATGATTTCTGGCTCTCACATCCTTATCCCAGCCAGTGATAAGCGTTGGTCAAAGCAGACCGACACGGGAGTCACCCACTACAGAGCTGGTATGACGCATGACGAAGAGACATTAATTCCCAACATTTTCCGATACATCATCCCATGGGAGGCAGAATTTATTGATTCTCAGCGTGTCTGGACTGAATACTCCCAGAAGCGTTTGGAAGCCAACCAGCAGAACCGACGTCTCACGCTGGAAGATTTGGAGGATAGCTGGGATCGTGGTTTGCCAAGAATCAACACTCTGTTCCAAAAGGATCGAAGCACCCTTAGCTTCGACAAAGGTTTCCGCGCTCGCTCCGAGTTCAAGATTTACCAACTCATGAAGAGCAATCCGTTCTGGTGGACGAGCCAGCGACACGACGGCAAGCTGTGGAACCTCAATGCTTACCGAACTGATGTCATCCAAGCATTGGGTGGTGTTGAGACCATCCTTGAGCACACTCTCTTCAAGGCTACCGGTTTCCCATCTTGGGAAGGTCTTTTCTGGGAAAAGGCTTCTGGTTTTGAAGAATCCATGAAGTTCAAGAAGCTCACCAACGCCCAGCGATCCGGTCTGAACCAGATTCCCAACCGTCGTTTCACCCTCTGGTGGTCTCCAACCATCAACAGAGCCAACGTCTACGTCGGTTTCCAGGTCCAGCTTGATCTTACTGGTATCTTCTTGCACGGAAAGATTCCCACTCTGAAGATCTCCCTCATCCAGATCTTCCGTGCTCACTTGTGGCAGAAGATTCACGAATCAGTGGTAATGGATCTTTGTCAAGTATTTGATCAGGAATTGGAATCTCTCGGCATTGAGACTGTTCAAAAAGAGACCATCCACCCTCGTAAATCTTACAAGATGAACAGCTCTTGTGCTGATATTCTACTCTTTGCCAGCCACAAGTGGAATGTTACTCGTCCTTCGCTGCTGTATGATACCAAGGACGTCATTGAGCCCACAACGACCAACAAGTTCTGGGTTGATGTGCAGCTACGATATGGTGACTACGACTCTCACGACATTGAGCGATATACGCGTGCCAAGTATCTCGACTACACGACCGATAGCTCCAGCATTTACCCCTCTGCTACAGGTATCATGATTGGTATTGATTTGGCATACAACTTGTACTCGGCCTACGGAATGTATTTCCCTGGTTTGAAGGTACTCATTCAGCAAGCCATGGCCAAGATCATGAAGGCCAACCCTGCCTTGTACGTCCTTCGAGAGCGTATCCGTAAGGGTCTGCAGCTGTATGCTTCTGAAAGCAACCAGGAATTCTTGAACTCGCAGAATTACTCGGAGCTCTTCAGCAACCAGACCCAGCTCTTCATCGACGATACCAACGTGTACCGTGTGACTATCCACAAGACATTCGAAGGAAACTTGACCACCAAGCCTATCAACGGTGCCATCTTCATCTTTAACCCGCGAACTGGTCAGTTGTTCTTGAAGATCATCCACACCAGTGTTTGGGCAGGTCAGAAACGTCTTGGACAGCTTGCCAAATGGAAGACGGCAGAAGAAGTGGCGGCATTGATTCGTTCGCTCCCCGTTGAAGAACAGCCCAAGCAACTGATTGTCACCCGAAAGGGTCTGCTGGACCCTCTCGAAGTCCAGTTGGTGGACTTCCCCAACATTTCTATTCGTGCCTCCGAGCTGCAGCTTCCTTTCCAGGCGGCCATGAAGGTTGAGAAATTGGGAGACATGATTTTGCGAGCGACAGAGCCCCAAATGGTACTGTTCAACCTGTACGATGAGTGGTTGAAGAGCATCTCCTCGTACACAGCGTTCTCTCGTCTTATCCTCATTCTGCGTGCTCTGCATGTCAACCCTGACAAGACGAAGCTCATCCTACGACCAGACAAGACTGTTATCACCCTGGATCATCACATCTGGCCTTCACTAAACGATGAAGATTGGATCAAGGTTGAAACTCAACTGCGAGATCTCATTCTGAACGATTATGGCAAGAAGAATAACGTCAATGTGTCCAGTTTGACAAGTACCGAGGTCCGTGATATCATTCTTGGTATGGAGATTTCTGCACCATCGATGCAGAGACAGCAGGCTGCCGAGATCGAGAAGCAGCAAGAAGAGCAGAAGCAGCTGACGGCCGTCACGACCAAAACGCAAAACGTCCACGGCGAAGAGATCATTGTCACTACCACCTCTCAGTTTGAACAGCAAACATTTGCTTCCAAGACCGAATGGCGCACCAGAGCTATCGCGACATCGAACTTGCGGACAAGAGCCAAGAACATCTACGTGTCGTCAGCGGATACTGACCTGGATGATGTCACGTATGTCATGCCCAACAACATCCTGAAGAAGTTTATCACGATTGCGGATCTGCGAGTCCAGGTGGCTGGCTACCTTTATGGTGTCCCGGCCCCTGATAATGACCAAGTCAAGGAGATTAAATGTATCGTTATGATCCCGCAGATTGGCGGCCTTCGTAGCGTGCAGCTTCCGCAGAAGCTACCCCAGAGTGAGTTCCTGGACGGTATGGAGCCACTTGGTGTCATCCACACACTATCGGGTAGCGAACTTCCATACATGTCTGCGGCAGATGTGACTGAACACGCCAAGTTGCTGGATACACACGAAGAGTGGGACAAGACGAACACGGTCACGGTGTCTGTTTCGTTTACTCCTGGCAGCGTTTCCTTGTCTGCTTGGGGATTGACACCTCAAGGTTACAAATGGGGAGCTGAAAACAAGGACACGCAGAGCGACCAACCTCATGGTTTCACCACAACCATGGGAGAGAAGCGAAAACTTCTGCTGAGTCCCAGGTTCAGAGGCTTCTTCCTTGTCCCAGATGATGGCAAGTGGAACTATAGCTTCATGGGCAGTGCTTTTGCAGGAATGGAAAAGAAGTCGGTTCACGTCAAGCTGGACACGCCGCTGCCCTTTTACAGCGACCACCACCGACCTGTGCACTTCCACAGCTTTGCAGAGCTGGAAGATATCTGGGTCGACCGATCGGACAACTTTGCCTAATCACGTAATCTGGAGGAACTGTTCTTGGCAGTCGAGCGCAATTTAATACCCTGGGGGTTGAATGAATATCATTTTTTACTATGGATGGGTGGTGGGTGACGCAGATTTGGCGGGCGTTTGCATTTTTGGGAAGAGAGGGGGTTAAAATAATACAAGACGTATGAGGTTTCAAGACTGAGTGCGGGTTACTGTTTTAATGTAAAAAATCAAGGAATTTATTGATCAGCTAGATGCATTTTTGACTTTATATGTAGGATTTACGAAAAGGGGAGCTAGTGCAGAATGGCAAGTCTTTTTATTGGCTTATATGAGTGTTTATCCATGGTGTGATATTGGCATTGATATCTCTTTGGTGTCTTTCTGTGTTCTAATGACTTGACTGACTGCAAGCTGTTGTCTCAAATTGCTCGTTAATACGATGATGGAGGTGTCGCCGATGTTGGCTCTTCTGATCTCTCCCGTGCGGCTGAAGCCCTCAGCCCAGCTACAAGGATGGCTCGGTAAGTACATTGTCTAGGAAGAAGACAGATAAGCCCCAAAGCATTCAGCTGGCTCAAAAAGTGGAGTGGTTGCAAGGAGTAGAGATGAAGGCCTAGCTGAATCGAGTGCGGCTGAGATGCAGACTTGACTTGGGCTGCGCTGAGTTTAAAGGGGCTGTAGAGTTACAGCATGGCGAATGGTTGGAACTGTGTATATACTTTGACGGGATGATTCATATGCGATTTTAAAGTATTACTGAATGCCTATAGACAAAATTGTATTGGTTGTTGGTGATCCATGCAAGCAGGCTACTCATTTGCCGTGGAATGATATAAGTATAAGTCTTTGCTGACGTCTGACGTCTGAGGAATTGATCTCATAAATCCTAGCTTTTGAATGTATGGGTATTCAGAAGTCTTTCCAGACAATAATGAAACACAGTCGCTACTCGACTAAAGGTCTATTCAAGCGAAACAACTCATCTGTAGATATCAGACTCTTGCCAATACATCCATAATCTGAGCTGCCATGGCATCGCCGTCATCCTGTCCAAACTCGTTGATGAGCATCCGCAGAGGCGGGTCCTGCGCCAAAGCCCCTGTTGAAGCTGAACGCAGCATGGCCGCCAGCATTCGATTGACCAGGGCTGCCTGTGCTTTTGGACTGCCGATGACTTCGCTCTGCGCTTTGCTGACGTTGCCCATGACTTCTAGCGAGTCGCGGTAGTAGTCGATGGGCGCTCTACCCGTCAGTTCGTGCCACTCTATGGCATCTACAGGGACACCGGCTTTCTGAATCAGGTGAGTCTGTATTGCGTGGCCCTCGTGTAGAGGCGGCAGCAGCAGAACTTGATTCGCAACAGCGCCGGCAGCATACAGATTGCCCAGCCCTGCAGTGCAAAATGTTAGCTCTGACAAAGCCATCAGCTTGAGAGCCTCGTCTGGCAGGACCATGCGAGCTGCGTCTGGGTCTTCGGGGTCGATGCCTTGCGCCACGTCGAGGCTGGCGACTAACACTGTCAACTTGGCACGTTGAGATTCTGGGAGCGCGGCGTTGCGCAGATAGATAGCGCGCCGAGCAGTGTTGTATATAAGACGGGAGTAGGCGATGTACTCTTCATTTGGCATAAGAGGGTTGATCATGCCTCCGAAGTTGAGAAGAACACCAGAAGAGGGATCTCGAGTAGTTCTCGCAGGCGGTCCAAGTGGCGAGACAGTAACGACATTGGTCAACTTCTCGCTGGTGATGCGCTCCTGGACACCGTAGAATTCTGCAGCAATCACCAACTCGGCCTGTCGCCAATGGGGAGAAATGCTGGGCCAGAACCAGAGCAACAGGTCGATGATGACCACTGGAATCCCGGCCATCTGAGCCGCAGCAGCAACAAGTTCATCCATGGCTGTCACAACGAGCCGTGGCTTCAAGTGCTGCAGGAGAGAAACGAGCTTCTTTTTTCCCATGTCCGGATTTGTGTACAAGTCAACATTGTGTATTCCGTCCCACTTGGCCTCTGTGAGCTTCTGCAAGTCCATTGTAAGACTCGATCCGACATAATGCAGAGCTATGGGCCCAAGGGACTTTAGTCGGCTTCGCAAATATGGCATGACGGCTGTGAGAGTGGCACCAGGCCCGCCTCCAAAGGGCTGAGCATTGAAGACGATACTTGTAGGTGATGTAGATGGATTGGGAGTTTTGATGGCGGCATCGTGATGGACTAGATGCTGGTTTTCTTCCATCTTGGGCGGGAAGATGAAGCGACGATACGACATTAACAATTATGACTCAGATTACAAAGGAAAGAAAGACACGCGTCAAAGAAAAGGAAGATTTGCAAGATATTTATTCGTTTCCATCAAGTAAACAGGCTGCATGCAGCGAACTAATGTATGTCTTACATTACTAAGTGCTCCAAGTAATTTTGCGCTAACTTGAATTTTATGAAAATGGATTTTCTTCCTCATGTCTCAGTATTTATACAAGGTTTTAGTAACAATCTCGACCCCAGATACTAACAGTTCATTGTGTCAGCTTCACTGGGCCCCGAGGATAGCTGCCTCGACTTCCTCAAGGCTATAGAGAGGACTCACAGGAAGTTCGCTTTCCCCGAGGTCAAGGCAAGAACATCTTCTATGGCACCTTGATCTACTAGAACTAATCCATTCCAGTAACGCGCAGGTGTAACAAGCGCCTGGCAGCACTTATGACGCCGACGAGATGATGCAGCAGTCTATTTGCTTTTCTCGGATGATTTTTTGCAAGGTTTAGCATGGTTTAATCAGTGGGTTCTAGTCCACAGGAATCGGAGTACCATAGAATGCGTGCATATCTTCATCATAACCAGCAGCTCCGATGGGTATTTCTAAAGCGGGTAGAAGGGTCTCGCAATTATTACATGGTTTGGATATTACCCTTTGTACATTGGTGTGGAAGTTGTTGAGCGTGGTGCTGCTGAAGTTGGCTGCTAGACTCGCTGCTGTTGCTCCGTTGACGTTATTGTTAAACTTTCTGACCTCTGTTGCGAATTCATGCACTTGGAAGAAACAGATTTTATTGGCATCTTTCTCTGCATTTTAGCTATGAGATCTGTATGACAGCTAGACGCACTTCATCTACAAAGTCATTTCACCTAGGCAGGTAGGTAGTAGGTAGGCTTCACTACTAGTATCAAGATGTATGTACCAAGCACTTGAGATACTAGTACCTATTGTACAGCCGATATGCGATTTTGGTTACGAAATGCAATTCTAGGAGGTATCCATCGCATCGAAGAGGTAAGAGATGATGGCATCAGTTGCCATTCCAAGTCATGTCGCCTTGGACGATGCGCACATTGTCGCCGAATGTGTTTCCAGAAATGCTCCGAGTGCTATTCCCTCCACCTTGGCCTGTTACTGCATTAGCTGGGGGGAAATTAAGAACAGTATATGTGAAAGCTTACCATTACCGCCGTTGACTTGAGCTGCAGCTGGACGTTGGACCGCATCCGTCACAATATAGCGGTCCAAAATGGCCTTCATCACACTCGCAGCAGTAGCAGCCGCAAAGTTCTGCCATAGGTTATTCTTATGGCTGTCGGCATAGTCGCAAACGCCCTTGACCACGAGACACGGGACCTCATCCCATGCTCCAGCGCCCTCCATCTCAAAAGCAATGAGATCAAACTTTGTGGCATTATAGTCGCGGATTTTCCCGCTCTTCATCACAGTGTTGCTGGAGCCTATCCGGCCAATGAAGATGTTGGGGCTGAAGTCGCCGTCATCTTCAAATATGTCTCGTTGGACAAGCATGTTGTCGTCGCACCCAAGATCGGTGCAAGATGTCTTGGCAGCTAAATCGCAAGTGCTGTCGAATTCGCTGCAAATCCCGCATTGTTTCAAATGCCGATGAACGTAGCGCGGCAAATACAGCTTGTCTTCGGTGATTCCCGGATACCGATATTTTGACCGACGTCGCTTCTTCGCAGCAGCCTTTGCATCGGCGCTTTGCAGCTGCTTCAAATAGACTGCCGACTTGTTTTGCACCATCTCTCTCATGCGTTCTGTTTGGAGCGCGGCCAGCATTCCTCGGATCTCTTTGTTTGCTCTTCCGAGACTGTCCTCAAGAGTGTCCTTTACTTCATAATGCCCGGGAAACTGTCGACCAAAATCGTACTGGACAATCGCCTTGCTTACAACTACGTCGCCCAGAAAGACATCGTCGCCTGCGATTTTGGGCACGCCGCCGCAGATGCCGACAAGGAAAACGAGCCTGAGGCTGCCGTAGCTGGACCGGAGATTTGCTGTTGCGGATGCTGCGCTGTTTGTGCCCATGTCCGGCAGCGTAAGGAGAACGACATTGTATTTGCCGAGCCGGCCAGTTGTGTAAGAGTTGTTGTCGCCGCTCGATCGGCCAAAAGGATCGCCATCTTCGTCCCAGAACTGGTCAAAGAGCAGCATAACTGCATCGGCCTCGCTGGGCAAGGCGCATACTATGCCCACGTGAAACTCATCCCGACTTATGGGCTGTGTGAATTGAGCCATGAGGAATCAACATAAAGACAGGCAGACAGGCTACACTGGACTGGTGATGCTCCGAGTCACACGCTCAAAGCAGACCTCACTCTGATATCCTTTCAGCCTTGCCGCGCCCAAGCGGGGTATTTTGCGGCTGAGCTGTAAGCATCGCCGAGTAATCATTGGATGTCAGGCTGAAACGGACCTCCTTGTAGGGATTAGGCTCTTCGCGTCGATGATTGGCCGTTTGTGTTTCAAGCAGGCCACATGTGGTACGCAGATGTGTAATGAAGTTTGTACTTTCTTCGAAAACCGCTCAATTGCCTCGGAGCGCACATATCAATGTCGTGGAAATTCAACATTGCAGCTACTTGCGGAATGGCCTATTAGTTATCAAAACTAACTGTTTTGCTTCAGCGCTGCGATTGAGATTAATACTCAGAGCCGAGTGGGTCTATATGACAGTAGATGTTGAGAGCAGACACATTTTCGAACTTTAAAGACCAGCTGCTTTAGTCACCTATCAAAACAGTTTTCTCCGCTAAAACAGGAAAAGAAAATGAGCCCATAAGCGCACTAACTCTTATGGTGGAGAGCGCGCCGTTGTGTCTACATTTAGCTTCATGTTTAGAGCATGAGATTAACGCTTGTTGCCTTGATCCGAAGCTTCCTGATAGACCGTGGGATGGCTGCAATGCTACGTATAGAGAATGCAGATGCAGAGAGGGCGCAAAAGAGAGAAGCGAGGTTTATATACATAACATACAAATCTTATATACATTACGAATCTACCACGAGACGTAATACTTGTATAAAGTCCGGGGCCTCTTATTACTCAATGACTACATGCACCTTGTTTTGCTGGTAAATTTTGCTATCTGACTGACTACTTATTTAGTATATTTAGATACACTTTATATATATTACCTGCTGCTTCGACTACTACTGCTACTAGTACTACTGCTACTGCTACTGCTGCTACTGCTGCTACTGCTGCTACTGCTGCTACTGCTGCTACTGCTGCTACTGCTGCTACTGCTGCTACTGCTGCTACTGCTGCTACTGCTGCTACTGCTGCTACTGCTGCTACTGCTGCTACTGCTGCTACTGCTGCTCTCGGTATAAACGCTAATTTCAAATAGTTTCAAATGGTCTTCTATAGGTACCTACCTAACTACCTTTTTCAGTCGTTCAGTCGCGCCGTTGTGGGTGTCTATCTGCAGGAAGCAATCCCTGGTTCCAGCGGCGAGCACTCTTCGAGGTTCACTGTATTAAAGGTATACACTTGCAAGTGTATATTCTGGTTCCTGGAGGAGTGGATGGTAGATAGCTCCGTTTGCGTCGACAAACTTTCCTCTTGTCTATTTTACTCAAGGTATGTTAAACTGACGGGACCATTAAGTTTGCCACTGTGGAACAAGGCTTGCTAACCCCCCGCCAGCATTTAACCTACCTACCTACATGTATATAAAGACACCAGACAGCACTGCAGACTTCACCCGGCGTATTCGTTCAAGGTCATTCGACAAGAAAATGGCACAACTTGCTCCTCCCAGCTACGAAGAGCGCGAGTTCTACTACTACGGGCTTCCTTCTCGCCCCAGGCTCGTCGCTCGCTCAAGCTCAAGCTCAGAACCTTGGGTGAGCCCCCAGATGCCTGAACCCACCACGTGGAGAGGGTCTACCTCCAACATGTATCCCAGAATGCTTCGACCCGCCAAAGGAGACCCAGCACTGCACCAGCAGTGGAATAATGCAGCATCTTCGCTTCGGATCCAGATAATAGAAGCTGTTAACGCAGTGGATTGGACTGCTATTGATATTTTGTCGGTTGGTCTGGAGAAAGAAGAGGCCAAATACCATAATACGCTTTTGATAGCTGTCAAGTCAAATTCACTGTCTTGGAGCCGCGGTAATACTCTTGCACTACGATGCAAAGCAATCTTGGAAGAGCATGGCATCAGGGACATGCATTGCGAGATACGAGAGTCGGATGTTATTCTTTTGACAGATGCATCCTCGCCACAACCTCCCCCGCCAGCTTGTGGTGCAGAATCCATTTAAAGGACTCACCTGGGCACGTATTGCATAGATCAGGATTTGGAGGGAGAGGTCGAACCTTTAACGACTCATACGAGTTGATGTACCTAGTACTATAGAGCTATATAGTAGGAACCTTACGGTACCGCCTTTGCGAGCGTAACAACACCAAAAATCCATGTTCCGGTATATCGCGAGCGGTGAAAACTGCGATTTAGTAGTATTTGGACCTGTGGCTAGTGATTATGGTGGCCTGTCGAAGTCGCGGCCTAGATAGCGAAAAATCTCATAAGATTCCACAGCTGGTTGTTAGCTGTTATGAGTTTGCCGGTACTTCTAGAATGAGCAAAGCTCCTGTAAACGATAGACGGCGTTGATACGGACGATGCCGATATTGGATACCTGTATCTCAGCTTCTTGCTTGGACTAGGTGTAGCACATGCCCCCCGTATAATTAAGTGTGGTATGCATAGGTAAAGTTCCTTGCCCTGAATTATTGTAAGCTTGTGATAATAACGACTGATCCATGCGCTTCCCTCCTCTCCCGCAGTATAATGGTTAAATGAGAAAGCTGCACGATGAGCTCATGCAGCATGCTGGGCTTCCTAGTCTGTCATCAATTCAGCCGAGGCCTACGCATGACACTCATTAGTTCCACTCATAAATTAAATAATGATATGTGAAGAAAGCATGGCTGTATGACGTACTATAACCGCATCTTCAGGCACATCTACGATGCAAGCGCAAGATGCGACACCATGGCTAGGCACCAATTGTTGTGAATAGTGCTGTTGTCCAAGTGTAAGTTGATAGACCACTTCAGGAGCCTAGTGTAAGTTGATAGACTACTGTGCCATCCCTTGTCAGCTTCCCAACTTGAGCCCCATGCGGAGTAAGCCGAGTCGGGAACACCGAGTTTTATGATCGGATGGTCCAATTCCGACTGTCAGGCAGCCCTCTTGAAGCTGCGCATGAACTTCATTTCGGCAATCCCTCCTAAATAGGCTCAAGGCTATGCAAACCTCTCGGTGTCTCTGATCCGAGGCGGGTAGATTTACGACTTGATACCGGGATCGCGATTCCAGCCCCAAGTTGACGGCCCCTGCGATATTGCGTCCTAACCCGATAAGCGCATCGCACTGCAACTTTACCGTTTTGGTGCCGCCAATGTCACCGTACCACCTCAATAATACAATGGTAATATCTCCGATTATAGCCCGTCGTATTGCCAGCCGTCCATCTCCCGCAGATCAGATGTTAATGAGCCGCAGTAGTTCCTCCGATCTTTGTGGTATCTCACCCCTGTATCAACTAGTTTAGACTCCATCACAGACTTCCGATCTCCCTACCGAGGCTTACAGATGCTTGAACACGGCATCTGCTAGCACAGCCCGAAGCACAGGCTCTCTGATCCTCTTTGTCGGTAAACCTTCTTT